TCAGCCTCTGCTTCAGCCAGTCTGTTAGCTGACCAAGCCCTTCCCACAGATGTCCTCCGAGCTGCTGACAGTTTCAGAGTTGATATTGAATGGCAGGATGGATCACCGATAGGGCCACCGTGGATCCCCAAGCAGCCCTGTCAGGCATGGACACTGTACTTGTCACCACCTGCTCTGATGGTTGGGGCATGTAGAAATGAGCCACAGGAGAATATCCAAACAGCTGTTGTAAGGTGAGTTGAGGGCAGCAAGCGTCAGCAGCCTGAGAGGAAAACAATTTATGGGCACCCTTCAGCAGAGCTCAGCGCTGAGCAAACACTGTAGCAGCATGTTCAGGGGGCGGCAGATAGAAAGGCCTGTGCTCTCGGACAACCATGGCTCTTTCCCAGCAAAGAGAAACCCCTGGAGACAGGGTTGGGGCCAGTGACCCGCTAGGGAAAGGCAGCTGAGCCAGCCACGCAAGGGCCCCCCTCCTGTGTCCTCCCTGCCCGCAGGGAAGGCTCACGTTAGCAGAGCACAGTAACTCTTCCAGCATGCACAGCGCCTGTCTGTATGGACTGCACTTGCTCTAAAGCAGACTTAGCAAACTCCCAGAAATAGAAGACATTCCTAGGTGCTACAGGATTGAGTTAGGGAAAGGATCGTCTATGCTGCATCTGTACTGGCTTAAATAGCACCCACCCCCACCACCAAATGTATGTCTACTGGAACCCCAGGATGAGACCTTACTTGGAAATAGGCTCTTTGCCTTTGTTAGTTAGAATGAGAAGTCATACTGGGTTCAGGTGACTGAACCCTAAATTCCATATGATTGGTGTCCTATAGTAAGAGAGGGGAAATATAGAAGCTTAAGGAAGAAGGTCACATGACAACGAAGGTGGAGATTAGAGAGACGCAGCTAGCTACAGCCAAGGAATGCCAGCAATGGTCAGAAGCTAGGAATTAGGGAGGAGGGGTTCTTCCCTAAAGTCCTCCAAGGGAACAGGACACTGTTGACATCTTGATTTGGGACTTAGAGCCTCCAAAACTATGAGCAAATTAATTTCTGTTGTTTAAACCACCCAGTCTGCAGTTCTTTGTTAAGGCAGTCCTGGGGAATCCACAGTATCTATCCATTTTAGCTCCAAATAGAGAGAGTAGAGTCATCATTCACCAATAGTTAATAAGTAGCCACTATACTTGTGGCACTTTTGTGGCAACGAACAAAAGCATAGAAAAATCCCTGTTTCTGTGGAGTTTAAATATTCCAGTAGGAGGAGAAAAAAAATCATCAAAATAAAGAAGTAAAATATATAATCTGTCAAATCATGATACAAGTCAGCAAGGGGTACTTCAGAATGAGACAGGGTATTCATTTTCAGATCTGAATAAATCAAACACTCTTAGAGGATTTTGAGCCACACATCAACCCTCCTGATCCGTTATTGTCATTCCTGTGAAAAATGGTACAACATATAAGGATGTGTGGGGAGAGAACAGACTCCCTTGGTTACATCAAGATTTCTGCTCTAAAATCAGGAAAATCAGCAGCCCAAAAGCATATTGTGAAAGGAAAAGAACAAGACATTAGCAGAAACCCTCAAAGCTGTGGAGAGACTTCCCAAGGATTTTGTGACAAAAATTACACAATAATTGCAGCTGATACTGAAATGGACCACACAACCCCACCCCGGAATTTACCATATAACAAATGCCCCAGCAGTGGGAAAGAACTCAACAAAACAGGAGTAATTCAGCTTTACAAACCACTTCTGGAGCTGGAGCAGTAAAGGCACGAGCTGGACAGGAAAACTTTTGTCATCCAAGAGCTTCATTAGATTATCACTCAAAAGAAAGCAAGATCCAGAACTGAGAGAACATTCTGCAATAAAGCCTAATTCAGAAGCCACATGTGGTGACTGAGAACCTGAAATGGGGCTCGTGGGAACAGAAGACTGAATTAGTTTTGATTAATTAAAATTTAAATAACCACATATGACCAACAGCTATTCTACTGGAGAGTGTAGTTTTAGAATTAAAGAAGGCTGACTGTGGAGGAAAGCCTGAAAGACTCCAAGACTGACTCCTCAAGAGAAAACAGTCTAGGGAATCTTTACAGAATGCACAACTATCATGTACAGTATTTCTAGGACATCTTTATGTCCCTAATCCTCACAATGTCCTCACAGACCATCACTAGCATCAACCCCATTTGTTCAACAAGATTATTTGACTTGCTGAGGGCCCTAAAGCTTTCAAGGGGTAGAGACAGAGATGTGAATTGAGCTTTGACACGAAAGTCCATATTCTACCTATGAAGGCAGCTTTCAGTGATTTCTGCCGTGTGTGTGTGTGTGTGTGTGTGTGTGTGTGTGTGTGTACATGCGCGCGGGCGGGTTGTTTCAGATCAGTTAAGTCTGAGGGTTACTTCAGCGCTTAGTGTGGATCAAGTATTCTGTACAGGTCAGTATCATTTAGCCAATCAGCTCCATCTTCCATCAGGCACAGTCGAATGCCCTGATCAGAGACAGGACAGACAGGACACACGAATGCATACATCTCAAAGAACTAAGGCAAACACATTGTGTTAAATAAAATTTCCCCCTTGGACACATTCAGTAAAAATTCTATACCACAGCTTTTCTGGGGGTGCTTAAGGAGCATCCATTGCCCAAGAGGTAGAGATACTCAGAACCTCTAAGAACACAGGTTTGTTTGTGGTCAAGAGAGGTTGGAGGTAAGGGAAAGAGGAATAATGAAGCAACAAGGTTCCTCATTAATGCTACAGAGATTTGAAAACACAGGTTTTAGAGACAGTGATGTGCTAACTCCTAGGGCGGTCTGAGCCCCTAAATAGTGGAGAAAGGCAACTAAGGGGCTTAGAGGACAATAGAGTTAGTGAATGCTGAAATTCAGATGCAGCTTTGGTGGGAAATGCAGCCCTCTCCAAGCAAAACCACAGCTACTTTGTGGTGGAGGCACCCATGCCTTGGGTGCTATTGCAATTAAGATTTCAGCAACTTTATGAGGATGTTAATGATGGGATTCACTGGGTTTGTTTTTTTTTTTTTTTAAATTACGGTATGCCTGGAAATATACTTGATGGATTAATAAAGCAAGTCTTGATTTGTCTCTTTAATCTCCTGGAGGGTTAACTGAGTTTTTCATCATTGGAATTGTAATCTTATCCTCCAAGGAACTTTCTGGGAAAAGCCCTCTTCCCCTAAATAGAGCTTTCCAGCATCTTGAGATTTTAAGGTTTAAGTGATTCCACACCCAAATAACTCTAAAAATGGTTCATCCTAGTGAAACTCCTGGTGCCTGGAAAGGATTCAATGGAAAAGCTGGCTATTCAGCTCACTCACACTTGCCTATACAGATATGTGTGTCCCACGAACCTGGTTTTAGGGACTGATTTTTAGCACGATTCTCCACAACAAAACTATCAAGAGCCAAATATTACAAATAAATTGGTGACTGTGTTGTGACTGTCACAAAAAATGATTTTATAATTTTAAAAATGCATGGTTTCTTCTCATGCTCTCTGAGTTATGCCAAAATTAATGTTTTGCAGCGTTTTTAATTCCAAAGCCTTCAGCTAAAATAGGTGTCTTTGGATAATGATCAGTCGTTAAGTCTTGACTTCGCTCCCTTTCTGGTAGCAGTCGGACATTCCTTTGCTTCCATCGGTTACAATAATAATAACTATTATTACTATTATCACTTTTATTAAAGACTGCAGATTACAAATGTGCGTGTAAGGTCAAAGTCGTCAAAGTCTTATGCACGATCTAGTCTTTGGAGTGCATTTTCTCAGAAAAGTTTCTCACCCGGGAGGAAAGCTCCACCTTATGAAACGCTGGAACAACTTCCTGGGAATGCCCGGCTTGTCCGCTCCGGTGACCTCGGAGCTCCCGGCGCTCGGCGCTGGGTCCCGGGAATGACCCGCCGCGCAAAAAGCGCCTACACCGCCATCCACCGGCCCCGAGCGGGTGGAACCAGGAGTGGGGCGCCCGCCGCGGGAGCTAGGCGCCCCCTCACAGGATCCGCCTGGACACCACTTTGCTCCACGGCGGGTGCGGCGCTGGGTCTCCCCGCGCACAGCGCAGTCACTCCGCGCAGCCGGCCCGCCGCCGCCGCTGATCCCGGACCCTTCCACACCGACGGAGAACGCTGAAAATGAGGGGGCTCCAGCCAGAGCGAGACGTCTGTGGCGCTCTTCCCTGCCCTTCCTTTCCCGACCCGGGGCGGCTGGAAGCGGCACCGCGGTCCTGCCCGGAGCGGTGCCCGAGCCCGCCAACCCGCGGCCGCTCAGAACCCGCGCCCGGGCGGCCGGCGCCTGGAGAACGCGGCGGGGAGCGCGCGGGCGCGGTTTGCGCGGGGGACCCCCGGTGTGCCGGGGCCGCAGGTGGGGCGGCCGCTGCGGCGCCGACGCTCGGTCCCGACCAGGATCTGGTCGCCGGGAAGCGCGCGCGGGTCCCGACCCTGAGAGGCGCCGGGAGCCGAGCGCGCGTTGGCGAGGACACTTACGTCCGAGGAGGCCGGAGGACCGCGCGATCCTTCCAGCGGCGGGGCGGGGCGGCCGCGACGGGGGCGCTGAGGGGAAGCCGCGCACCCCCGAGGGGCTGGTTCCCACGGCTCCTTCCCAGCCTCCCCAGGCGTCGGCGCGCGCGGAAACCCACTTGTTGCGCGGACGGCACCGCGCCGAGGGGCGGCTCTGCGGGGGACGAGACAGGCCCTCGGCGAGAAGAGCGGGTTCTCCGCGGCGACCTGACTCCCGCCGAGGGCAGCCTGCCCACGCTCCCGGCCGGCCGGGCACCGGTGCGGGACAGGGCGCCGGGGGACTGGCTGCGGCGCGCGGGGCGCGGGGCCGGGGCCAGGGTCGCCGAAGCTCACAGACGGCGGGAGAAGGTGGCAGCCCAGGGAAGGAGCGCCCCGGCGTGAGAGCCTGACCCGGAGTGCCTCCCGACTGAGAGGACATCTGACCTGTGGGCCCGCGGAGCGCGACCCCTGGATCTTACCCGCTCCGAGGCCCGGGCTCGGCTGCGGCGCTGCTCAGCTGCGAGGGCAGGGGACCGCTTGGTGGAGAACATGGCTCGCTTTTTTCTCTGTCCACTCTTATCTGGGTCGCTTTTCTCTCCTAACGTGCCCCGGGGAGAGGCACATCGGACGCCGTGCTCCTCACTCAGGAAGACACAAGTGGAACTTCAAGGGACAGGGGTCCCATATTTTGTCTGCTCGACATTCCCACCCGCGGACCACTCCCTCCCTTCACTCGCGGCTCCAGGTCCCACCCATAAGAATCCTAGTGACAGATCCTCCCCAACCCCACCTCTTTGCATTCAAAGAAATGACTGTTCAGGGCAGACAGGAAGCCAAGAAGACTGCTGGTTTCTCACCTCCTCAAAGTTACACCTCGCGACAGCGGCACGAAATAGATGGGACCTGAAAGCTTGGACTGTCAGAGAGAGTAGTTGGAAGTAAAGGAATTATTTCTAAGCTCTCCAAAATCTCCGCATATCCTAGACTGTTTTGAGCCAGAGCATTGCTTTAAAAAAAAAAATCAAAATATTTGCTGACACTGGCAATTAGAAGTCGCCTGTTATCTTGAAGAGTTAACTTAAGAGTTATATTGAAGGGTGAGCATTATTTGCATAAGGCAAATGGAAACCTGCCTTTTGCCGTATATTTGCTGAAGAAACGGCTTTTGCTAGACTGCCTGAGACTGCAGGGGTTGCAGGGACACGGGAGAGTCCTAGTTGGCTTCTATTGTACCTAGTTCCCCATCCCCGGTGAGGGTGGCCACGGGCGCCTTCCGACCAGGAACTTCGCCTCTGTCTCTGCTCTGTCTCTGTCATTCACCACAAGCAGCTGTGCCCTCAGGCCGCGTCAGGAAGGGCACTACAGGTATTAACAACTGTGGACTGCTATTGAGGTTCAAATTGTCAAATATATAACCAGAAAAAAAAAAAAACATGACACTACATTCAATGCATTTTTCTTAAAAACAATTTTTCTTACTTTGGTCAAGTTCGTTATGGAACTTTCAAAAATTAATCATGAGGTACTAGAATAAATCTACCACCATTATTCTGCAGGAGGCCATGTATTGTCAACGAAGCATGTATCAGGCCTGTTCTGTAAAAACTATTGCTGGGGGGGTGGAGAAAGCAGACACTTGTAAAATTGGGGGTAATCAGTATTTTCTTTCAGAAATGAGAAAGTAGAAAATAATGCAAGTGTAAGCTAAGATAGTCGACACATTAATTCCACCAGTGTTCTAAACATCAGATTTGGAATCTGGCATTTGAGAGCTGACGAGAATACATAATTCTTAGTTACACGGAGGCTTTTACTACACACTTTACATGGATTGTCTTTTATTCTACCAACCACTTTATGAGGTAGGTACTATTGTTTATGGTGGAAGTGAGAAAGATTTAGAGTGTCAAAGAAATCAGCCCAAGTTTACACAGCAAGTGCTGAGCTGGAAGCAGTGCAATTTCAGGACTGTACTATTTCTTAAAATAGTGCCTCATTACACATCAGCAGAGACACTGGCCTGAAAGTCAAGAGCCTGGAAGATTCATCTGCCATCTCTACCTTCAACAAATTATGTCTTCTTGGCCACAGTTGACTTCAGTCACAGTTGACTCACTTTATAAAATGAGGGCTGGATGCAATTCTCAAGGTTTTGACAGGCATTCAGAAGTCAAGTATATATTTCTACTTCATCTTCTTTTTCTTCCACTTTCTGCCCCCTGGTGGAGGTGCTACAAGAACTATGAAACTAAAGCAACTAAATTAGTGAACTTGAGCTAGCCAGGGTAGTCTCCTTTTCTTCTACTACTGTATTGCCCTATGAGAAGGTTGAATGCATTGGTGGTGTAAAATAAGCATTCCTTAAATCTCCTTTACCACGAAAACCCAGCCAGTACTAGTTACCAATTTACCAAAGGAATATACTTGTATAAGGACAAATTCCCAGTTTTATATTCCTTGTAACAAACTTTTACAAGACAAGAAATCATAAAAAATCACAAGTCTCATAACATAGTCAAATTAATTTGGATATGCAGGGAGTTCACCGTAATCTGCAATGACCTATTTGAATTATTCCTTCAAATACTTGCCACATCTGCTTTTCAGCTTGAAGTATCAACCATTATCCAGTTTCTTCAAATACTTTTTTTGCAAAAAAAATTCTAGCCTTTTGAAACTTCTATTGCCTAGTATTTCAAGAATATATGCAAATAATTAATGATTTAAAAGAAAAGCACAAGGCCTCCCTGGTGGTGCAGGGGGTTGGGCACTGCACTATGGGGTTAGTCCGCAGCCTCTGCAGCGTAGGTTCAATCCCCGGCTGGCCAGGGAGCAGCCCACATGGCAAGGCAGACCTCTCCTGTCTCGCTCACTGCTCCCCTCAGCAGTGTGTTTCAGTCAGTCTGCCTGTTTCTGCTCCCCACTCTGTCTCTGGTGAATCCTCTCATCCCCTGCATCGCTGGCCTGTACCCCATCTCTTGTATGCATAATCTTAAAAAAAAAAAAAAAGCACAAAATTTGAGATTTTTGGAAAAGTTAACTTAAAAGAGGTGAATATATCTCTGAACAGGGTGAATTTAAGGATTAAATTTTGGTCACACAATATTTTATAAGCCAATTAAGTGCATAGTGCTACAATTTCGTGTTAAATACTCCAAAAGAAAGAGCTGTTATCTTAGAGAAGCAGCCAGCTTAGACAAATAGTGACTGAAATAGATGTGCTACTTCCATGCCGTATTTAGTTATTCATCAACTAATAAAGATTTGCTGTCAGGTTAACAAAACAGACAAAAGCTCCTGCCCTCACAGAACTCTTAAGTCTAGTGGCACAAATACATATGTAACTATGGAAATCTCCTTGTAAATAATGTGGGACCAGACCTTCCGGAGGTAGTTGGTGTTATTTTCAGCTGATATCAAAAGATGCAGTCTTTCAAAAAGTAGAGCGAGAAACAGGCAAACTAGATATGTACCCATTGCAAAGGGGAGTTTATTTGAAGTGGGAGGACAGTATATAATATTAGATTCTAGCACGCTGAAATAGTCTTTATGACACAAGCCTTTGTAGAAATTATTGCATATACTATTTCTGAGACATCAATCCTTTAATATACCAAAGTAGTCATTGGGAAGAAGGTAGTAAGAACTAGTCCATTAAAAAGTTTTAAAGGAGTATCATTTTGAGCACCTACACACACCTATTGCTACCTTCTCTGACCAGCTGGGCCCCCTAGTGCAATCAGACTGTCCAAACGCCCCAGCCACTTGCCAGCATTCTCTCTAGTCTTCCCAGAGATAGTGACAGTGAACATGAGTAAAAGTTGAGGTACTTCAATTCAAATTTGTGAGCCAATTTATAAGAAAAATCTTAAAGTTGTGAGATTGCCAAATTTACCTATATTATAGCTAAGATTTTCAAAGTGCAATGTGCCACTTTACAAAATGACATATATTTTCTGTTTTTAATTCTTGGAGCAAATCTATTTTCCTGTGTGCTAAAATGAAAAGAAACAAACCCAACTCATAAACTGTTATGGGAATTAAATATATAAAGTATCTTAAAATAGTTGTGAACACATTCATTCATAATAGCTAACACTTAGTGGTACATATTAGTATTTCTGTTACTATTTTACAGCAAAGGAAGAAACCGAAACTTACAGAAGCTAAGTGACTGTACAACTTGGAAGTGTAGCAAAACCAGAATTGGAACCCAAGAAATATTCAACTGTTAGCCCTTACCTTGTGTAATACAACCATTAAGACTAATGAAAAATACCCAAGGAGTCACAGTCTGGAATTATTATGGACTTATTCATTCATCCATCAGTTATTGACTGATGTAGTGGACTGATGTAGTGGACTGGAAGCTAAAACACCTTTGGATATACGATCTTTGCAGATGTCATAGTTACTGGAATATTATACTATAAAAGGGTAATGATACTGTAATACTGGGTGATATACTTTAATAGAGTGGGCCCTAAATACAGAGTGTCCTCATAAGAAAAAGAGAAGTACGTACAGAGAAAGTCATGTGAAAATGGAGGTGAGGGGCCTCCCTGGTGGCGCAGGCACTTGAGCGCAGCACTGTGAAGCTGTCCACAGCCTCTGCAGTGCCCCGGCCGCCGAGGTACCCACATGGTGTAGCAGACCTCTCCTGTCTCGCCTGCTGCTCCCCTCAGCAGTGTATTTCAGTCAATCTGCCTGTTCTGTTCCCTACTCTGTCTATGGTGAATCCTCTCACCCTCCTGCACATCTGGCCTGTATCCCTGTTCTTGTATAAATCAATCTTTAAAAAAAAAAATGGGGGTGAGGTTGGAATGGTGTCTACAAGCCAGAAATGACAAGGATAGATGCCTACCAGGTATCTAAACAGCTGGGAGAGAGGCATAGAATAGTTTTTCCCTCAGTCTCCAGAAGAAACCAACCATGCTGACCCTTGATTGTAGACATCTGGTTTCCTGAACTCTAAGTGAAAAAATTTCTGTTAATTTAAGACACTGTGATAATTTGTTATGGCTGCACTATGAAACTAATACCAGCATATACTACATAGCTAGGCTGTAACTTGGGGATTACAGAACCCCTGCCTTCATGGAGTTTATATCATAGGAGACAGACAATAAAACACATAATACAATGACAGCAGCTTAGTACTATGAGGGAAAAAAATTGCAGAATGGCCAGATGAAGGCAATGAGGGTGTTTAGGTAATGTCTCTGTAAAAATGTTTTAACTCAAATGAATCTGAACTGTGGAATTTCAGGCTACCTTGGTAATTCTTCACAGCACCATTTATGTAGTTACTCCCGCAATGACTGGAAATTAATCTTAGAACAGAAGATCAGCAAACAATGGCCCTGAATTTAATCCATAGACCAAGATTCTGAATTACATGGAAATAGCTTCCGAGGTGGGAACCTGGTTTCTTTTGTCCCGTAAGAATTTCTGGAGAGCAGAGGGGTTCCTAGCTCTTCCCATCCCTCCCAAATTCACATCTCTTCTAAGAACCACCGTTCCATGTCTTCCTCCCTCTATGAAGCTTACCAACCTCACTAAGACCAAAGGTTTAGGGTCATCTAACCTCTAGGGTGATCTAATCTCATCCCACTTAGGTAATTTTATTGAGGCCAGAAAAGACCAGAGAGCGAACACTGCTATTTTTCAACTTTAGCTCCCTGAATTTAGACATTAGTATCACTTTCCAACACCCAAGGATGGCCAAACATAACAGCTAGGTGATCACCTGGGTCATCTGAAATAAAATGTAAAGTCAAAAACCTCTTATAATACATCTTTAAACACTGCCACAGAAACTTACCTGTGTTTCTTAAATTTTTTTTAACATTTATAACCATGAAGTTCAAGCATCAACCAAACTTCTTTGAAAAAAGCAAACATTTTCAAAGTTTTACTTCAGTGAAGTTCCTCTCACAATTTCACCAACGACTTTACCAATTTGTTTGAGATTATTTGAATTTAGACTTTAATAGTGAAATTAATTGCAATACAAACACTAGTATTGGTTAATTCCTAAGTGTTTAAACTTCAATATAAAAATTTTATAAATTTTTCAAATAGGAAGCTAATAAAGTTTTATGACACAATAAGAAAATAAGATCATCATGTTCACAATTTTATCTATGTCATTCTTAGTAGTTATTTCCCATTCCTTCTCAAACTGGCTCAGAGTAAAGCAAATAGGACAATAGTACTGTTTTGTTTCCCTCAGAACAAATAAGTATTTAGACCAAATTTAACTTCATTTTGACCTTGAAGAGTTTATTTATTTCCTCTCTCCTGTTTCAATCAGTCCTTCCTATTCATCATGCAGTTGTTTCTGCAGAGTCCTCACCCACTCATTCTGGGCAAGGGAGAACCATGGCAACTGAGCTACACATCACATCCCTGTTTTGATCCCTAGCACCAACCTGGACTGCCTCCCAACTCAACTCCCTCCTTGCTTTTACCCTGTCCTCCTTACAGTATTTTCTCTGCATAGAAGTCAGCAGGCTGCACTTGTAAAACAAACAAAAACAAAAACATAATCCCCAGGCTAAGCCTTCCAACAATGCCAACTGCAACTAAACAGAACTCCAGTTCCTTGCCACGGTCCATCAAGCACACTATGAGCTGGCTGTAGACTCACTCTCCCTACCTCATCATAGTGCTTCAGCCACCCCAGTTATTCTCTCTGTTCCTCTATCATGCTAAGCTGCTCTCCAAACCTAGGGCTTGCTGCTTTTTCTCTTTCATAAACTTTTCTCTCAGATCTTCAAATAATGGTCAGTCAGTCATAACTCAACTGTCCTCCTTAGAGGAATTTTCTCAATCTAAACTAACTAGTGACTTTTCACCTCCACTTTCATCACTTTCTGAAAATTTTCTCTATTTTCAGCAACACTCAACTCCATATGCAATCATACTCCTTTATGTGTATGCCTATTTCTTGCTTGCTCTCTTTCACTCCGTATTAGCCCTCGAGAGAAAAGATCACCATTCTATCTCCAATACCTGCAAAGTACCTGTCACACAGGAAACACCTTTTGTAAAAAAAGGAATAGCCGTGTGACTTTGGGTAAGTTAATTAAGTCTGAGCTACAGTCAAGCAAACAAAGAACAGCAAACAGCTTAATTTATCTTTCACTCAATCTTTTCACTAAGTTCTTTCCTACAAATTAAAGAAAACAGCAAAAATAGAAAACCAACAGTCACGAACTAGGTTTTGGCTTTATAGGCCAAGATTCTGAAATACATGAAAATATCTTCCCAAGTAAACACTTAGTTATTCATATTCTTTAATATTCATTTTAGAGTAAGGTAAGACTTGAGTGTGGCGAATCTAATTTAGAGCTTCTGAAACATTAACCCAGTAAACTCTATTGTTGGGAAAGGTAAAAAAGTCTAAAATCAAAACATGAAAGTGCATAAAGGAATGACTGCTCTTTTATTCTAGACATAGTCAATCTTTGATTGATGGGCATTTTAAAAATCTGAGTTAAATTCAGCAAAATTTAAAAAGCCTTCTTTGTATTTCTGTTTAAAACATACTTGAACCACTTCTTAGCACCTACCAAATACTATATTATAGAGTTTACATAGTGATACTTATGGGCTGCCTAAAGCCATAGACTTGGCAAATATTTTAAACAGTAAATATTCTAGATTACAAATTTGTTATGAAAAATTTTAATGAAAACGATCATACAAAAAATTAAATAGCAAGACCATTTACAATGACTTATAGTTCAAACAGATTTGGCTTACTGATATTTCTCTATCAGTCTGTTTTCGTAAGAACTAGTTATCTCCAGCTGAAATCTACTTAAAGGATCACAGTAAGAAGAAATGAGAATAAGTACACAAAGCTCATAAGCCTTGTGCTCAGCACTTATTGCTTATAAATATTATTTTCTATTTTATCATTACTTTGAAAAGACACATAGAAGTTTTATAAAACATGCTAACTTCAGTTAAAAGCTTTGACACAAGAAACAGCCACATGTGGAGGAATTTGACCTGGCCTTTTTAAAAAAAAAAAAACAACCAAAACTGTATTTTCCTATGAGGAACATACTATCCCAAAATTCACTTTGATAACTAATAAATATTTCTCACTAATAAACCAACTTTGGAATCTAATTATATAGCTTCATGTTACAATTTAAAAGGCTTCTTCAGGAATTATTTTTTTTAAAAAAGTACAAAGTTACATGATCAAGAAAAGTATATTTTAATAAGTAACCAAAACATTGTGAAATATTCCTCTTATTGCACATATGGCTCAGTTTCATCTTAATTTTACCCAAAAAAATGTTGGTTTGAAGTAGTAAATGGAACAACTATGTTAATACAAGGAAGCACAATGAACAAGATGTTACCCTGTCACTAACTATGCCTTATGAAATATTTTGCAATTTCAGTCATGCCTTTACTATTAAACAATGTCATATTACCATTTCTAGTATGCTAATTAAGATAAAGTTTAACATCTGTCCTGCTAAGAACAGCTGGAAGAGAAAACAGAGATGAATATGAATATCTATCATGTTCTACAATAAATACTTTATAATATTCCAAATTTAACAATTTAAGTTCAATCTGAGGTATATTAACAGATAAAAAATTTTAATCCACATTGTGGACTATGTACCATGCAAATACTACAACCATAACAGCACACACTGGAAGAAGATAATATTTATATTTTTGCCATAGCGTTAGCTCAACTGTCACTTCATCTCTTTTTTTATTCTTCTTCCGGCGACCCTTCAGTCTGTTTTCAAAAGCCTCCAGTTCAGCCTAAATCAAAAGAGTATTTTTATTAAACTCAACATATACATTAATTTGATATATTCCACCTAGATTAAAAATAAATCAATTGGAGATAACAGCAATGGCATATAATATGTTGATTTGATCTCTTCTCTCACTACTGAATGTATTCAACAAATTCAGAATTTAGATAAATAGAAAAGGAAATGGAGAGTAATGGAAAAGATTATTTCAGACTGTAGGCCTGACTTCAACACTGAATACAAAAATGTCCAATTAAATCAGAGTGCCTAAAATATAAGCATTAACTTTACACATCAACATCATTAATCTAGTAGGGGCCCTACAATATATTGCTTTTCACAAATGCTAAGAGATGTCCCGTGAGAATGAAGGTAATAAACATTAATGACCTGCATGGAAAAAATTCAAGTGAGTAAAGAGAAGAGAGCTGCCAAAAACTGATTTTTTCTTTTTATCAAATATGCTTAAAAACAAGCAGTAAAAACTCAGGGGAAAATGCTTCATGCTTTAAAAAGAAAAAGACTATTTTAGAAAGCAGAGTCATGTAAGAAATGGTTCTAAAAAGGTAACAAGATAATACTCATAAAATGTGGATTTTTATCCTACTACCAAGGACCTACTTATTAAACTTTAGTACATAATTATTATAAATTGATGATATTATAGTACACTGTAATTAATTAAAATGTGAGTTATTAACTAAAATATATATGCAATATTCATGTTAGATTCTGTAAAATGTTTACGTGACAGAAGGAAATATAAACTTCAGTTAACATATACATTATTTTATCCATAAATCACCCATAAAGACTTAATCATATGATTTTGTTCCTCAGAATGTAATCCCCCAGGATTTCAGCCAGCCCATGTTTTACTGTTTAGCTCTGGTAACTTATTTGGGATATCAGGCAAACCAACTTTATAGAACCATAAAATACCAGGTCATTTTAGTCAACCTTTATTTGTCACATTGTTTCTAATGTCTTCCCTCAAAGCATGCAAGTTTTAACTTCCTCACTCATGCACTACACTTGGTTGGTAAGTATGAAGCAACCCAAAACGCAAATTGAAAATAATTACATGTCACTTAATACAAAGTAAAGCAACTCTTTAAAGCATGTTATCAATCTAGTAATTGAATGAACAGGAGGTATCAGGAATATACTTGTTACTTGGGTAATAACAAAGAATGGATAATAATCCTGCATTTAAGAATCTAATTGGATGGTTGGGTCAAAAAGATGTGGTATATATACACAATGGAATACTATTCAGCAATCAAAAAAGATAAACTCGTGTCATTTGAAGCAACATGGATGGAACCAGAAGGGATTATGTTCAGTGAAATGTCAGCAAGAAAAAGAAAAATATTGGATGGTTTCACTTATAGGAGGAACATAGGGAAGCCACACAAGGGATCAGGGAAAAAAAAACCACAAGGAAAACAAGAAATCAGAGACATTCAGCAGCGGAGGGAGAGGGAGCAAAACGGGAGGAAGAGCACAAGAGACCATGGTGATGGTTCATGGGTATCTTGGTGGTGGGAGTTTTATAGGGATTATACCTGAGAGGAGAAATCAAACAATGTACAAAAGTAACAATGTAAAATATATATTTTAAAAATTTTTTTAAAATCTAATTGGAAAATAGGGGAATGTACTATTAAACGCATTGACTAGTAAACCATACTGATTACAGATAATCCACAACTCAGTAAAATAAACTCAATTAATTGTAGATAAGTAAAGAAAGGGGATCCAAGAGTTGCTTTAAAGTGAATGCTACCACACCTCGACCCTCATTCCCCAACCAAAAACAGGGAGGTTAAAAGTTATAGCTGGAAAATGGATGAAACTTACAAGGATATAAATTGGGAACATCAAACTATCTGAGAATATATAAGACCTTGTGAATTTTCAGAGGTGCAATATACTTAGACTAAGGTAAATGAATGGCTAATTTTTGTTTGTAGTCCAGAACAAAAAAGAGTTGACTAGACCCTAATTTTGTACTTAGTATATATCTTGTGTTTACATAAAAAAGATGCAGAGACATAAATCTGAATATTGTGTTTAGTTACCTGCTGTCTTCGTTTTTCCTCTTCAAGAGCAGCTTTGGCTTCTGCTTCTTTTATCTGTTTGTAGATATTTGTACAAGCAAGTTAACACTGTAATAATTAAATTTTACATTGAATTTTTTAATACCTTCCCACCAAATCTCTACTAAACCTATACAACTTTGGGGGAGTTTTATGTTGTACATTATTTAAAGAAACATAAATGTTATACTAAAAAGTGTTACCAACGAAGATACAGTCTAACCAACTAGAGGTGAGGGAGGTGGAAGTGTTACATCTTATATAAAATCAGCTTATAAAAAAATCAGCTTGACAACTACGATAGTATATCACGATTCAAAGAGTTACTCCTGCGCCTCTGACTGTACCCCAGGTCTTGTATAAATAAATAAATCTTTAAAAAAAAAAGTTACAACATTGTAACCTGAAATGATTTTAAAACTGGATTATTTTCTCTTCAGTTAGCGTACTAAGAAACTACAATCAATTATTAAATACCACTCTTTGTCTAGAACTGAAACTGACCACCTGGAAGGGAATCCTTAGTTTCAAATAAAGTCAAGAGTATTTGTTGATTACACTGATGGCGGCCAACAGTGACACTAGTGGTAACTCAAACACCAAAGAATCCCCAAATTTTTTTATTACTTTAACCTAATTTTCAGGAGGCTTACACTAACAGTGAGATGAACACCCATGTCCCAGAGATCATATACACTAACTGCTGCAAAAAAACGGAAAATCTAGTATGCAACAGATAATAAAAGCACACCTGAGGATTCAAAAAAAAGACTATAAAACTAGCTTTATAAAACCAACCAAAGAGAGACTGCAAGTCTTTCCCCTATATGTACAATATAGGGGAAAGCTTTTAGCACATTAAAAACAAATTTAATATAATATTACCTCAAATGCTTTCCGCTTCATTTCCTTGCACATGCTATCACATTCTATTGAAATGTGGTTTTCACGTACTTTGTTGCACTGCAATTCCTACAAATAAATTTTTTTAATTTCACATTTTAAGTTTTCCTTGAAGTCCTGTGTGCCATAAAAAATTCCCTCACAGCTTAAAGTCATGCAAATTATTTAACATACATACTCATTAATATTTAATGATCACACACTTACAATTAAATGTCTTAGTTCAAAGAGTGATTACTCTATTTTAACTGCAAAAAAGTGAATACTATAAAATTAAAATCATTCACTTAAGATTTACTAGAGCCACTATTAGCTTCGTTTTATTTTTATTCTTTACTTTATTGATTCTTTCTACTCTTCTAAATGTTCTATTTAGAAATTTTTGTTCTTCCCAATAAGAGTAGCACTGAAATAATGGAAATTTTCTGTAGCTGTTCTTCCCAATAAGAGTAGCACTAACCACAGACTACTGAGCCTGCTAAATGTGGCTTACTGAAATCAAGGAAATGAAAGTTAATATTATCTAATGTTAAATTTATTCAAATTTAAATTGCATATGTGGCTAGTAGCTACCAACTCAAATAGTACAGTTCTAAGATAATTTCCTGGAGAGCTATACATTTTTTCTCAAGTAGTAAACCCTTTTTTTAAATAAGTTTAAATGGGGCCTCCCCGTTGGCTAAGGGGTTAAAGACAGTACCATCAAGCTATTGGCAGCCTCTGCAGCATGAGTTCGATCCAGGGCCGGGGAACGAACCCATGAGGCCACAGCAGACCTCTTCTGTCTCACCCCCTGCTCTCCTCAGCAGTGTATTTCCAGTAGATCCACCAGCTCTGCTCCCCACTCTGTCTCTGGTGAATCCTCTCACCCTCCACACCTCTGGCCTCTACCCCAGTTCTTGTATGCATAAATAAATCTTAAAAGTTTAAATGAAAATCATTCTAAAGATATTTGTACTTCATTATATAAAAATTAATTAAGAACAAATTACTTTCTTGATGACCTGAAATCAACACTATGAACAATTTCTGTTATTATTCTAATAAAGCAGATCTTATTTTAAATACTTTTAAACTTTGCTTTTATAGATCTTTGTCTACCTCTAATCCATTACCTGTTTCTTGCTGCCTCATGTTACTTTTGCTCTATGTGTACTTATTTGTATTGATTTTGCCTTTTTTGCCATATACTCAGACTCCAGTTTTTTAGTTAAGTCTACCAGAGTTAAGAAATGAGATAACCAAATCCTATAAGTAAAGTGCATATACTGAAGTGAAAACATTTTATTTCTTAGCAGGGTTTTCCCTTTTATTACTTTTTGGCTGAGATTAGTGATAAATACAGTCTTGTCTTCCATGGATATTCCAGAGGAAAAATAACATCAATGAATATTAAGCACAAAAATAAATGCTGTGTGCTTGTGGACATTATGTCTATCAGTCTAAAGAAAGATGACATCTTTTTGCATTTAAAAGGTAAATATAGAGTCTATTACATGCCAAGCACTATTAGGGACAGAGGACACAATAAAGAAGAGTATACAGTAACAACAGTGAGTGTTAAACTAATAATAATAGCAGCTTCTACTTATTAAACATATCAGTCATTGTGCCAAATGCTATATCAGCATTACCTCTTTTTATACCTCTCAAATATATGTATAAATTCTATTTTAGAGATAAAGAAATAAGGGCAGAGAGATCCTTTGAACCACCTAGCTCTTAGTCATGGACCTAGTGTAAAGCAAGCCAAGAGGAAAGAGCACCTATGTCTTTCTAAGAGGAACAGCCCTTAAACAGTAACATGAAATTAGAGAAAATCTGAGAGACATCTCAGTTTAAAAGAGGCTTGGGGCCTCCCCCGGTGGTACAGGCAGTTGAGCACGGTGCTGTGAAGCTGTCTGCAGCCTCTGCAGCGCCGGTTCGATCCCGGCTGGCTGGGAGGGTCCCACATGGCGCGGCAGACCTCTAGTCTCGCCCGATGCACCCCTCAGTAGTGTAGTTCAGTCAGTCAGTCTGCCTGTTCTGTTCCCTGCTCTCTCTCTGGTGAATCCTCTCCCTCCTGCGCATCTGGCCTGTACCCTGGTTCTTGTATAAATAAATGTCTTTAAAAAATAAAATAAAAGTGGCTTGAATGAGTACTGACTGTTGATTTATAAGATTGTGCATGTGAGGTCTTTTTAAGGCAACATTTTCAAAACAATACTAAGAGCAAAAAAGTTTCACAAATAGAACGATATGCATTAATTACAGACCAGTTCTTAAACCATGACACTCGCTTATCACTCACACTGTATTCCTTGTGCAAAGAACTCAAAACTGGAGCACAATGATTTCCAGAAAAGGATGAAGAACTTGGTTGCAACATAATCTTTTACTAATAAAGTGTAGAAAACTATAGCCAAAGCTGATTTTCAAAATAAGCATTCACTGAAACAGACAAGCTAATAAAAAGATTCTACAAAATAAGGACTTAAAATTAAGAGATTAAAAAACAAAGTCAAAGAACTACCAAAATAAACAAAAATTACATAAGTAAATATTTTCACTCATTTAAAATACTTACCTTTTTTATTCTTTTACAAGGACATCTAAGTTTTACCTTCTGGTTGCAATTAAATGGACATTCACCAGGATGACACATCTCTTTGCATCTATGACCACAAGGAAGCTAAAATAAAACCAAAACATAGCAATTACATACATATATTTTCATCATACTCAACTTTCTCTCCCCCACAACTGTTTTTAAGTATGACTACTCTGAAGCCTAGGAGTTTTGAAATGTGGTCACAGAACAACAGTATCACTACGGTATAAATACATATTAAAAATGCAAATTCTTGGGTCCATTTCAGGACCACAAAACCAGACTATGAGGTAGGGCTTATTTATCTGTTTTAACAAGTTGTTGCAAGAATTCTAATAAATGCCAGCATCTGAGAACCACTGCTGTGACCTTAACAACATCAAGAGGTCACTAACTAGACTTCTTTAGAGACAATGAAATGGACAATGTCCACTACTAGACTGTTCCAAACTATAATAGCTATTTGGATTGTTACCAGTCCATGGATATATTTTTACGAAAATCCAAGTAGACTCTAGTAATACTAGAGGCTCCAGAATAGTCTGAAATCCAAAAACTTATCATCATGAATAACAAATTTTTAAATAAATGGTGCACATCTGTCTATTCCCACCAAATGTCATAACAACATAAGTGAATCAATCATCCCCAAAGCAATGTTAAATGACAAATTAGCCATCCCTGAATTATATTATTTCTAATCAGAATATCATACCAAGTTACTGAAGTAGATTAAAAATTAAACATTCTCAACTGCTCTTTATCTAGAGTCTGAAATTTGTGTAAAAGAAAATTTATTTTAACAAGAGAAAACTGAGTATTTAAGTAATTCAGAAAATTAAATTTGAAAGCTCCCATGTTCCTAGTTTCACTTATGTAACAAAGGATTATTAACATAGTCACTTATTACTTGAAATGGTATTCTTTCTTACAATATTACATAATTTTTTAAACTCCTAAGTTTAAGTTGCAATACTTCTTAAATATCTATACAGCATCCAAAGTTTCAATTAAAAGGAAATATTATTAACAAAAGACATATCATGCACTACCTACTCTATTTATATAATTTTTAAGTAAGATGGGAAACACATAGGTAAGTGTATAAAGATAAAGAATTAAAAGAGATACTATTGGTATGTAAGTCTAAAGGAATTTTTATAAATTGACTGCCACCCAAATGAAAGAATGGCCGCTGTCCTACCTCCAACAACAAAAGGACTACCCTCACTCTAGATTGCTGAGACACAGATAGAATAATTTCTCAAATAACTGTCAGGATAAAAATACTTGTGAGTTTTTACCTTTTCATTGTGAACAAATTTTTTGAGCCACTTTGGAAACTTTAGGCTTGAATAAACTGCACATAAAAGCTTCAGAATCTTTAAAAACTATATCTAAATGCTTTTTACTAATTAATTCAAGATAATAATGAACTTTAAATTTCACACACACAGAGCTATTTTTTTAATAACCTAGCATGGATTTACTATCTGTTTATAGCCCACACAGTTCTTGATCTATTTATAGTTTAAGTGATAACATCTGGAGGGGGCAGGAAGGGATAAACATCAGGTCAACACTATTGTATAACCTATATAAAGTTAAGAGGCAATGAAATGGACAGTGTCTACTACTTTAAAATTGCTTTTTAAAAAGAAAACCTTCAGAGTGCTTCCTTGTCTTACTATCCCCATATTTCATAAAGAGGTGTATCTACCCTAATTATATGTATTACATTTTTATAGACAACGATCACATTTTAGTGGGTCCACAAAAGTGGATAATCAAAAAGTCAGATAAACAAATAAAGAGAAATTTCAAGAGAAACAATGCTCAAAAAGGCAATTTAAAAGGTTCTGTTAAACCTTACCTCTTTAGGACACTGATTTTTGCAACAACTGAGGAGGTTCTTTTCATTTACATCAGCTGTAGTTATTTTTCTAAAAAGAAGGAAGTTTTGAAGACATTCAAACTGAAATCCATCTTATAGTTCTCTAAAAAATATTCATAATTTCCAATATATCTATAAGTTATTTTATTTAAGAAATATTTTAATTGTCTCTATAACAATTATCTTCAAAATCTTGAACTGCTCTGATAACCCAAATCCTATAGCTCTTTACTACCAACAAATCAAATATCAAAAGGATAATCACTGCAAGAAGCAAGTACAAAATTTCATGTGCCTGGCCTCTCTTTAATACTAAGCTTTCCGGGGCCTCCCTGGTGGTGCAAGGGGTTAAGCAGCACACTAAGAAGCAATCCGCAGCCTCTGCAGCACAAGTTCGATCCCCAGCTGGCCAGAGGGCAACCCACATGGCAAAGCAGACCTCTCCTGTCTCGCCCACTGCTCCCCTCAGCAGTGTATTTCAGTCAGTCTGCCTGTTCTGTTCCCCACTCTGTCTCTGGTGAATCCTCTCATCCCCTGCATCTCTGGCCTGTACCCCAGCTCTTGTATGCATAAATAATCTTTAAAAAAAAAAAAAACAACTAAGCTTTCCCTATAGATCAATCATTAGTCATACTGTAATTCTTAAAATCTTTACAGAAAAGATTTAAAAACTAGTAGCTTAATATGTTACTTTGCAATGAAGACCTTAGGCTATTTAGTGGCAAATGCAGTAAGTTTATAGAAAAGCTTTGTTCAGTTGTTTTTGGGTAAACTATTTCAGAAACTGATTCGTTTTAGATCAATCAGTACTGCTATATCGGACTCTATGGATAATTCAGAAAAAGGAAGGAATAAAACTAGTTTGCAATCATTGCTGAATAGAACCACAAGAGATACTGCATGAATAAAGGAAAAGAAAGGTAATGAGGAAGAGAAAAGAAAGACAGATGTTTTCTCTTCTTCATTACCTTCCTTTTCCTTTCCTTTATTCTTTTTTATTCATTTACTTCACTGTACATAACTGCCAAAATATACTATAAATTTAGTCTCACTAATATCAAAACTATTATCTCAAGCAGACATAGCAAATTAATGATAAATGTATGTTAACATATGCAAATTTCTTGGTGAAATTTCACTTAATATCACAAAATTTTTTTGCTAAGCCTACTAAAAGTTGTATATTTTCACTCTTATGGGTATGGTGCTTAGCTCTGAACTTATAGCCAACATAATTTTTTCCATGTTATGTTATAATAGGAATAAATTAAATTTTTAAGGTCTGGATCTTTTATTTCTAATTTCACAAACCAAAAAAAGTTTACATGGAAAAGATGACATATGGAACAATTCACGGAACTAAAAGTAAATGAAATTATTACTACTACAACTACTGAAACTGAAAAACTACATAAAAACATTTACTCAAGAAAACGAAAACGGTACTCTGGAAAGCTGAGGTAATGCAGTCACCTCAATCCAAACAAACAGATACATCTCCCACTCCCTCAAAATCATCCACCTCTTTAATGACAAATAAAACCTCTCAAATACTATCACTTCAGCATGACTGGAAGGTAGTATATCTACAGGCTTAAAATTTCTTATAAGAGAAAAATAATTATCAATTCCTAGCAACTCTATTTCTCAAGCCTCCATAGCAAATTTTTCCAGAGTGCTAACGAAGTTCTAGGAAAAAAAAGCAGAAAGGAGAATAGGAGGACTGAGCTAACATTACACCATAAAAAGAAGTCCATCCTGGAGCTAGAAGAGATTATGCTCAGTGAAATAAGTCAGCAGGAAAAAGAAAAATATCAGATCATCTCACTTAGAGGAGGAATATAGGGAAACCAAACAAGAGATCAGGAGGGGGAAAAAAAAGACAAAATCAGCAGGCAAACTATAAATCGGAGACATCAGAGACATTCAGCAGGGGAGTGAGAAGGAGAGGGATCAAAACAGGGAAAGGAAGAGCACAAGAGACTATGGTGATGCCTCAAGGTATCTGGATGGTGGTAATTTTATCGGAATTATACCTGAGAGGAGAAATCAAACTTGTACAAAAATGAACAATGATGTAAAAATATATAAATAAATTTTAAAAATAAGTAAAGAAAGAAAGAAAGTCCATCTTAGGTGGTAAAACACTGAAAAAGTCTTGATAGATCAGGGCTCTAACGAACGGGAAGAGTTGTTTAAAAAGTGCACAAAATCCAGGAGTCAATTTTGGAAAAGCAACATTCTGGGAAGAAGATATAAAGAGAAATGCACTCTTTGGAGACTAAACAAAGGTAAAAAGAAAAGGGGGAAATTTAGGGGCCTGCAAGACAAAACTTTTCATCAGTATCTTCCAATTAATAAAGCAAAATTTCCCTCTTAGTTTTCTGTACAAAATTTCCTAAGTTAAATATTACAGTATTTCATTTTTAAAATTCCAACAAAATAATTTTAAAATTTAAAAAGAATAAAATTTGACTTTTAAAATTAAATGAAGCATGAGACTAGAATCTAAATGACAAAAACAAATTTAAGATAATATCAAAAGGCATTTTTCAAAATTATTTATGCTCAAATGATCAGCCACAAAATTATATTCCCAAATTTAACTTGAGTAAAATAGGCTTTCATTCAAATGGTTTATTTGAATGAAACAGAGCTGAATAGGTAGTTGAATTATGTTAGATAATAGAAAAAAATAGAAATTTTACCCTTCCATATAATCCACAAGTAAAAATTTGCATTTATTAAAGAAAAGGTAGCATCTTAATATGAAAAATGCTGTAACATTAGAAACAAAAGCCTACTTTTTAAATTTCTAATTTAAAAATTATGCTTAAGTAATTATGTACAAGTCAATTTTGACCCAACAAAATTCTAGTTTGATACTGTATCTGACAGTTTGTTATAGGTGTGCTTCCCCACTTTTTGAAAAGTACTGATTCAACTTTTTCCCTAAGAAAATATTGTACAGACGCCAAATGGAAAAAAAAAGAATTGCTCTGGTTGAAATCAGGATGAAGTATCTAAAAGGCAACATAATTTACATTTCTTCCTTCCAGATCTCTACTGGAAAATCTAGGCCTTTAGAGTCTAAGGCACACAACTGAAAAATATTTTTAAAGTATACTATAGCAGATTAAATTATTAAAAAAAAAGTTAAAATAATTTTTGTAAGGCAAAAATATTTCTTCAGTCTACTTACCTACATTCCACATATAGGCTTGTGATCTTGCAGTGACATTTTATTCTAAGCATCTGAACACAGGGGGGACATTCTCCAGGGTGACATGGCAAAACACATGGATGAGGACAACCCAGTGGTCGTGATTTAGAGCACCCTTCCTCACACTTAAGACATTCTGGGCCAGCCTGATAAATAACAAGGAAATAAATCACCTATAGGAGTCTAATATTCTATATTTTAAAGCTATAGAACTTCTATATCCCATTACAAAAAGGTACTTCTGCAGCTCTTAGGGATTTTTTTTTTAGAGATTTATTTATTTATGCATACAAGAGCTGGGGTATAGGCCAGAGGTGTGGGGAGTGAGAGAGTTCACCAGAGACAGAGGGAGGAACAGAACAGGCAGACTGACTGAAATACACGGCTAAGGGGAGCAGCAGTGAAACAGGAGAGGTCTGCTGCACCATGTGGGTAGCTCCCTGGCCGGCCAGGAATTGAACTTGTGCTGCAGCTGCTGTGGATAGCTTCATAATGCTGTGCTTAACCCCTTGCGCCACCAGGGAGGCCCTCTTAGGGATTTTTAAAAAATTGTACACACCTTCACTTATTTAAAAAAAAAATACAAAATGAAGAACAACAAAATTACCAATATGACCATAATTCAAAGTTTTTGTCTATAAGCCTGATTGAACTACTTCACCATTAAAATGCTCTTGATTACATGAAGTATCACTACTAAAAATGTAAATTACTTCCTGAAGAACATTGGCATTAAAAAAGAGTAAAATCAACAACTGTTAATATATAAATAAAAATTCCCAAAACATTATCTTGTTAAAAAGAAATATATAGAGGGGAGGAAGGAGAATCATCAGCAGGTTAATTTTTTTTTAGTGTATTTCAATGACCAAAATTAAAACACATTGAGGGCCTCTCTGGTGGCTCAAGGGGTTAAGCACTGCACTATGAAGCAATCCACAGCCTGCAGCACAAGTTTGGTCCCCGGCCAGCCAGGAGACCTCTCCTGGCTTGCCCACTGCTCCCCTCAGCAGTGTATTTCAGTCAGTCTGCCTGTTCTGCTCCCCACTCTGTCTCTGGTGAATCCTCTCACCTTCCTCCCCCCCCCTGCTGCCCCGCATCTCTGGCCTGTACCCCAGCTCTTGTATGCATAAATAAATAAATAAATAAATAAATAAATCTTTTAAAAAAATCCAAGTGAGTTTATTTTTAAAAAAATCGAGAAATTAATGCCATCAATGTAAATTAACAAGTTATCTCTCTGCTCTGGTGATTTAACAATTTAACTAGTATCCATCCACTAATAAAGGTTAAAGGCTTTTGTTTGTTTGTTTTTAATGTTTGTTTAGAAGAACTGGAGTGTAGGCCAGAGGTGTGTTGTGGGGGTGTGGGGGAAGGTTTCACCAGAGACAGAGTAGGGAGTAGAACAAGCAGATTTACTGGAAAACACTGTTAAGAGGTGCAGCAGACCAGACAGGAGAGGTCTGCTGCACCATATGTGTATTAGCTCCCTGGCCAGAGGTCAATCTCAGGCACTAGTGGCAGTAACGCTGAGACTTAACCCCTAGGCCACCAGGGAGGCCCCGGTTAAAGGCTTTTCTAGCAGAACATGAGATAAAATAAGAGAGTTACAGATATGAATACTAAGTCTTAAATATGTTTTATTATCATTTCCAAGTATAGTCCTGATTACAAGAGTTACTATGTCAATAAAATTCTGAGCCCTTTCTCACACGTAGCATTGAAAAGTTTCAAATTATGAAAACCTTCTTTTAATTTTTTATTTTAAAAAGTATACTCACTAATTCCACAAATACTTATTCAATATTTATGTGAATGTCCAAGATGGGAGAGATCCCTGACCTAAGGAATTTATATTTAAGGAGAACATCTTAATAAATACTCATAAAAAGATAAAGCAGGGTAAGAGAAAGTGATAGTAATAAAGAGGAAATCTGTCCTATAAAGTTCATATTTGAACAGAATTTTAGTGATGTAAGAGAGAGAGTCATAAAAATTTAAGAGTTCCAGAGAAAAGGAATAGTAAGGGCAGAAGCTCTGCGGTATGAGCAAACTTGGAATGCTTAAAAATTAGCAAGCACAGTCACAGAAGTGAGCAGCAAGAATGAAGAATGAAGCAATGGGAAGGGTAGTCAGCAGTTAGATTGTTGTAAAGCCTCATATGCCATCATGAACCTTTGGAATTTATTTTGAGAGAAACTGGAAGTAAGTGATGTTAAAAACTGGGAGATGACACCTGATTAACATTTTTAAAAATTATTCTAGCCAACATAGTAAGGTCAGAGTGGGAATAGAAAGGCTGGTAGGGAAAATATTATAGAAATCTAGGTAAGAGGTGATGATGGCTTGGATGGTGATGTTAATGGTAGAGGTTATGAGAAACAGATTCAGAATCATTTTGAAGATAAATGTAAGATTTGCTATGTGACAAGAACAATGCAACAATTAAGAAATCAAGCAATATTTCTATGTCTTTGATCTGTTCAACTATGTAAAAATGGGAGGGAGCACAACAGATTATGGGGATGGAATGTGGATGTGTTGTTGGTGGGTGTGGTTTGGTAACAACACCTGAAGAAGGAGATCTTATATCTCTAAAATACAAACAACATTGTAAACCAGTGTTACCTCAATAAAAAAAAAAATGCTTTTAGTAAATTTCACACACAAATAAACACACCCCACATGTGTGATGCTATTTACTGCCAACAAAAGACTGGGAATTTATTAAAATTGTGAACATTATCTATCAATTTGTGTCAGGTTTAAAAAACATCTGATGGTAAACTCTAAGTTCAGAGTTATAAATGGACAGAAGTAGGGGAAATATTGCTACCCACTAATTTCTATACTTCCATCATAAAATCAAATCCTAGGTGAAAAATTAGTACAATATACAGTTTTTTTTTTTTTTAAAGATTTATTTATTTATTTATACAAGCACTGGGTACAGTCAGAAGCACGGGAGGGTGAGAGAATTCACCAGAGCCAGAGTGGGGAGAGAACAGTCAGAAGGACCAAAGTACACTGCTGAGGGGAGCAGCGGGCACGGCAGGAGAGGTCTTGTCGTGCCATGTGGGACCCTCCCTGGTGGCCGGGGATCAAACTGGTGCTGCAGAGGCTGCGGGCAGCTTCGCAGCCCAGCGCTCAACCGCTGCACCACTGGGAGGCCCAGTATATAAATAGTTCTAATATTAGATTGGAATAATATTACTACGAGCTACCACAAAATATAGAGCAATACACATCAAGCTATTAAAGTTGATTGTCTTGAGAAAGGCAAGGGAGAAGGAATGGAGGCAAGAAAGAAAAGTTAGAGTAAAATGGAAAAATATTTATGGCATAATTACTAAAAAATGTTTGAAGTACACTATGAACATATATACATTCAACTTAAGACATTACCTTGTTTTTGTCAGTGCTGCCATCAGGTTCAGTTACTTTGTGGCATTCTTTCATACAAGTATGATTTTGACAATCTAAGGTTCGTCCACAAACTCTCTTACAAGAGTAGGGTCCTACAGCATGGCATGGTAGAGGACTCACCTTAAAAAAACAAGAAAGGGAAAACTTAGCACGATATATACATATAAAACTTTTTGTCCCACTTTTCAATAGTACCTGTCATTTGGCAACGAGTTTCACAAAAGTGTGGTAATACACTTTTCACTAATAAGTTACTATCAAAACCAGGTAACCTATCAAAAAAATGAATTCCAAGAAGCAAAGCAGTCTCTTTTTAAAAGGTAAATTGAATATATTAATTCTGTAGTGAAGGCAAAAAACATAGCTAACTCTCATATAAAAGCACTGTATATTTTAAATATTAGTAGACAAATTCCTGTATTCTTCACAACACTAAAATAACAATATGCTGAACTTGTTATTTCTAACAATTATAAGTGAGAAGAGGTATATTTTACAAATTTACTGAAAACTTGTAACTCACCTCATGCTTCCCAAGACATATCCTGCAAGATAAAAGTAAAATGAAAACACAAATTTTTTAAAAAGAATATATAAAATAAAGATGTTAATTCTACTAGCTTGTTTAGTAAGAATAAAAGATAATCTGAAATACAAGTAATAATTATAGAAAGGTGGCAGGATACAAAGTTAATATATAAAAATGCTTTCCTATATACCAGCAATGAACAAGTAGAATTTTAAAATGAAAACGTACCATCATTTATATTAACACACAAAAATGAAATAGTTTGGTACTTAGGTATAAATTTTACAAAACATATACAAGATCTATATGAGAAAAACTACAAAGTGCTGATGAAAGAAATCAAAAGATAATCTAAACTGATACTCCATATTTGCCAGTAGGAAGATGCAATATTGTTAAGATGCTGCTTCTTCCCAACTTGGTGTAGATTCAACACAATTCCAATAAAAACCACAATAAGCTATTTTGCAGATTATCAGTAAATTGATTTAAAGGACTACATGGAAAGAGAAAAAAAAAAAATCACAATAGCAAATCCAGTACTGAAAAAATCTATACTTTATTACCAAACTTCAAGGTTTACTCTAAAGCTACAATGTTCAAGACAGTGTAGTGTTGGTGAAATAATACACAAATAGATGAAACAGAATAGAGCACCCAGAAAGAACCACACAAATACATTAACTGCTTTTTGACAAGGAGTGAGGTAATTAAATGGAGAAAGGGTAGTCCTTTCAACAAATGGTTGGTGCTGGAATAAAATCCACACGTAATAAAATCCTGACAGAACTTTCACCTTTCACAAGTTAACTCAAAATGGAAAAAAGACCAAAATGTGCAATGTAAAGCTATAAAATGAAGAAAAAGTATGTCACAGTCAGTTTGTTGATAGCTTTTTAAATACAACACCAAAACTATGACCCATGAAAGAAAAATGGTTACGTTTTACCTCTTGAAACCAACATTTACTTTGTGAAGAACATTTAAATTAAAAAGTATTAAATGACCACTTAAATGAAAAGATAAGTCACAGACTGGGAAAAAAATATTTGAAACACGTGTATATTGAAAAACTGGTATAGGACATATATCCAAAATATAAAAAGAATTCTTAAAACTCAGTAAGAAAGCAAACCACCCAATTTAAAAATGGGCAAGATTTGAACAGAGAACAGACACCTTGCCAAGACATATAGATGGCAAATAAGCAAATGAAAAGATGCTCAATATCACATCACTAGGGAGCTGCCAATAAGAAATGAGATACCACTACACACCTATTAGAATGGCTAAAATCTAAACACTGACAATAGCATATGTTGACAGAATGAAGGGCAGCAAAAACTGTCATTCATTACTAGTGAGAATGCAAAATGGTTCAGCCACTTCACTAGACAATTTGGCAGTTTCTTGCAGAGCTAAACATAGGCTTACCATATGACCCATAATCTGCTCCTTAACATTTGCCCAGATGAAGTGAGAACGTTTGTACACAAATAACCTGCATATGAATGTTAACAGCAGCTTTATTCATAACTGAAAAAAATGGAAGCAACCAAAATGTCCTTCAATCGGTGAGTGAATAAGCAAACCGCATTATATCATACATCCAATATTATTCAGTGATAAAAAGAAATGAGCTATCAAGCCATGGAAAGACATAGAGGAACCTTAAATGCATACTACTAAGTGAATGCAGCCAGTTGAAAAGTCTACTTACTATATGATTCCAAATATATGACATACTGGAAGAAAGCAAAGCTACAAAGACAGTAAAAAAATCAGTGGTTGCCAGGGACTCAAAGGGGAGAGGATTAGGAATAAAAAGATGTAGCAAAGGGAATTTCTAGGGCAGTGAAACTATTCTGCATGATACTATAACAGTGAATACTTGACATTTACATTTGTCAAAAACCACAGAACCAACCACACAACACAAAAAAGTAAGCAATGTAATCTATTGATTTTAGTTAAAAATAATGTATCAATATTAGCTTCTCAATTGTAAAAAATAAATAACTAAATATAGCATACTAATCCAAGATATTACTAATACGGGAAACTGCTGTGCATGTAAGTGCGTTGGAGATAAGGGGTGGGGACAAGACGATATGGGAATTCTGTAGTTTCTGCAAAATTTTTCTATTAACTTAAATCTGAAAAATAAAGTCTACTTTTAAAAATTAAAAATAAAAACATTGGTTTCCTTTCCAAGGACTAGTTTTAGAAAGAGTCCTGGGATCCTATTCTGGCCAATGAAATGTGAAAGGAGCTTTTCTATGTGGTATCTGGGAAAGTTTCCCACTCAAAAAAAAAAAAAAAGAAAAAGAAAAAGGAAGATAAATGATAGAAGACAACACAAATGCGTTCCTCCTTTTGGAACCTTTCAAGTATAGATGGGTCTAGATGGGAAGTTATCAGAAAGACAAACAGCCAGAGGCAAAGAAAACAAACAAAGGCTAATAAAATGGAAACACAGAATTGGGCCCCTTGTGATGTACCACTGAATAAACAAGATTAGCCAACTATGGTGCTGGCTGTATCTCCAGTCTCAATAAGCAAGGCATAAATGCCACTATGTCACTTTCTATTATATATTTTCTAACTTGAAATCAAAGGTACCCTAAATATAGCAAATATGTTCAGAATTATTTTACCACATGGTCAAATTATCATTAAAAGTAATATTATATTTTTTAAAAGGGAAGTCACACAAGATAATCTACTCTAAAAAGGAAACTGTATTAACCAGATAGCTTATGTGACTGTATCTTTCAATGAATATTTAGTAATTTTGTTATATACGCCACTGGAAAACTTATCAGTTAGAAGGGCCATTACATGTTGTTTTAGGAAACATGTAATTTATACTTTAAAGAGTACAATTCAGTGTTTTGCTGCATATTTGTAAGACTATGTAACTATCAAAACTTCCTAAACTTACAATATTTTCATTACTCAAAGAAAAACCCTCTAATAATCATAACTGCATGGCTCTTTACCTCCAGTCCCTGGTTACCACTAATTTACTTTTGTTGTTGTGATTGTTGATATGGCCCATTCTCACAAGTGTGAGGTGGTAACTGATTTTGGTTTTGATTTGCATTACCCTGAGGGTAAGTGATGGTGCACATTTTTTCATGTGCCAGTTGGTCATCTGTATGTCTTCTGCCCATTTTCTTAATTGGGTTTTTTGTTTTTTGTTGTGTCATGTGAATTCCCTTATAGATCTTGGATATCAGCCCCTTGTCAGATTGTGTGCAAATATTTTAGTTTGATATACTCCCAATTGCTTATATTTTACTGTTTTCCTTGCTGCTGGAGACCAATCCACAAACATCTTTGAAGCCCATGCCATGCCTCCATTTTTTCTATGTATTTAATGGTTTCAGATCTTACATCCAAGTCTATAATCCATTATGAGTTTATTTTGTGTGTATGGTGTGAGAGAGTGGTCTAGTTTCATTCTCATGCATGTAGTTGTCCTGTTTTCCCACCACTTGTTAAAGAGGCTTTCCTTGCTCCAGTGTATATTCTTGGCTTTGTCACAGATAAACTGTCCATCTAGGTGTGGGTTTATTTCTGGGCTTTCCATTCTATTCCATTTGTTTGTGTGTTTGTTTTGTTCCAGTGCCAGGCTGTTTCAATTATGATAACTATGTAGTAAAGTTTGAAGGCTAGATGTGTGATACTGCCATTCTTCCTCTTTTTTGTCAAAATTGGTTTGGCTCTTCAGGGTCTTCTGTGGTTCCATATTAATTTTAGTATTGTTTATTCTATTTCTTTGAAGAATGCCATTAAATTTTTGATAGGATTGCACTGAGAATATACATATTTTGTTCCATTGATCAATATGTCTACTGCATATTCTGGATTACCAAAACTTTGTAGTAAGTTTTGAAATCACAAAATGTGAGTCCTCCAACTTTGTTCTTCACTTTTAAGACTATTTTAGCTCTTCTGGGTCTCTCCCTCATTTTTCCATATGAATTTTAGGATCAACTTGTCAATTTCTGCAAAAAAAGTCAGCTGTGATTGGGATGGCATTGAATCTGCTGATCAATTTGGGCTTGAGAGTGCCCTTACCAATATTAAATCCTCTCATCTTTGTACAGGGGATGCCTATTCATTTGTTAGATAGTTGTCTTGGCCCTCTTGTCAACAATCAATGACCATAAATGTATGGTCATAAATGACCATAAATGACCATAATGACCATAAATGTCATTATTTCCGGATTCTGAATTTTATTCCCTGCCCCAAGTGCCACACAATCTTTGGTGTTCTTTAATTTCCTTGAACAATGCTTTGTAGTTTTTAGTGTATAAAGTTTGCATTTATTACATTCATTAAATTAATACAATATTTGTCCCTATTGATATCAGATGAATTGTTTTCTTAATTTCATTTTCATGTTGTTCACTGCTATTGCATAGAAATAAAATTGACTAATATAATTAATCATGTTTCCTATAACTTTACTGAACTCATTTAACACTTCATTAAATTGTTTTTGTGAGAGAAGCCTAATGATTTTCCATATACAACATCATCTGAAAATACAAACTTCAAGTTTGTCTTAACTAAAACCTAGCTTTTCTCTGTTTTCAGGAGCTTACAGGTTAGCCTGGGTATCAATCAGAAAACAAATGATGCTATCATGGATGTATTATTGTAATTTTAACCACAAGATTCTATGAAGGAAAAGGGCATAAAAGTCCAGCTGGAGCGAAAAATTCAAGACCTAGAACAGATTTTGGTAAAATATATCTGGAAAGGAATGAGGCTGAAGACAGAGAGACTAGTTTATAGACTAAGCCTGAAAAAATGATGAACTGAACGAAGAAAAAGGGGAAAATGACTTAGATACACTTTGAACTAAAAGATACTTTTTAAAGTTAAAATTCTAATAATACTTACATAGGAATAGGAATTTGACATGGAGGACAAGGTAATGCAGTCTGAATAAATGCTGGCTCAGAAGGCTGTTCCCAAGGGCCTGTAGGCTGGTGCTACAAATAAAATATATGACAATTTTAGGTCAGAGGAATTAAGTCATATGACCATTACAAAAATCTCAGAAAGTAATTCCATGTATTTTTGACTCAAGCAGGCTGAAACTTTTCAGCAAACTGTGCTTCTGATATATTTTATTCCATCTGTATTCTATCAAAATTGTTCCAATCCACACCCACTTGACATTTAAAAACTAGACTCAAATTTTTAAATGGCAGAACAAAAGCAGGGCAGCCTCCTTCATTTCTCATAAACCAAAAGGAGATTGAGAAAACACAATTGTAAACTCCAGCTTTTACAGGTAGAATGTATCTCCATTATTGTGTTCACTGTTGCCTAACAGCTAGAATAATGCTTCACACATAGTAAAAACTCAATTTATGAATATGTGAATCTTTGAGGAAACCAGGAGACATCTACAATCCTAAGTCACAATATATAAAGGAAGATTGCCATATTTATCTATATCAAGATTATAACATAGCATACTTTATTTGCAAATATTTGTTGGTTTCTCTTTTTACATTGTGAGCTTAAGACAAAAAAACACTTTTTATTTACTTTGTATCCTAGCTCCTGAATACACAATAAGTGCTTAACACACAGTAAATACTTAATCATTGCTTGTTGAATGGCTGTAAAATTAAGAAGTATGACCCACTGCAATGCATTCTCTTAATAATAGTGTTCCCTTACCCTGCCAGTTTGCTTTATTAATGCTTGATCATGACATGGAGCAGGACACAAGTGACCACATTTCTCCAAAACTTTTTGGCAAGGTTGATGACATGGTGGACATGAGCCAAAGTGACAGCGATGCTTTTCTTGACTTGTATGATGGCAAGTTGGTGGTCGACTAAATCATAAAGTACAATTTTTAAAATTACTTTTGATCACTTAACAACTATATCTAATCTAAAGTGCAATTATCTTACATATCTTTTGATTCCATAAAGAATGACGCTTACTGGAATGTTAATATTTTAAAACATTAAAGCAAAATTTAAAATACTAACAATGTTAAAATTCAGTATGAATTTAACTTTATAAGAGACCAGATGTAAGTTTCTGCAAAACTTCATACTTACCTGCATTGCTCTTTGCACTTAGGTGGTTTTGTGGTACGTTCTCGGCCACAGGGTACTGTCACCTTTGTGTTACCACAATTGCACTTCACATCGACAGTTTCTGGGCAGGGATAGCAACTGCCTGAAAAAAAAAAAGTCAAGTTAAAAAAAATTTCCTTCATTATCAAAATGCCCCTCGACAGTAGAATTGGTAAGTTTAGTGTACTTGAAATGGTAAACTCTACAATGTGAATGAACAAACTATAAGAATGAACCTTACATCCACAACACTGAGCAAAAGAAGACACAGACTAAATAGTATATGGCTCCATTTACATAAAGTAACAGGAAAACTAATGCATAATGTTCAAAAATCAGGATGATGGCTATGAAGGATCCAAGTAGGGTTTTAGAAATGTTGGTAATTTTCTGTTTAACAATCTGAGTTCTAATTACATGGTTAAATACAGTCTATAAAAATTCACCAAACTGTGTGCTCATGATTTGTATATTTTTCTTGATCTACGCTGTTACTTCAATAAAAAGTTGTTGAATTTTCTTTAAACTTCACTACAAGTTTTGTTCTAAGCAACAAAGTTAATACATTTCACATTCAAACCCGTACAAGCAAAATGGATTTAAGTCTTTGGAAAATCTAATATGAATAATAATCTTCTTGGCTTATTTTTATGCATACTTCTATTCAAATAACATAATTTTTCCTTTTAGTGTGTTGTAAGGAGTGGCTATCTTTACCAGCTACTGCCAACTTTCTCCCTAATATGGGTCTTCAAACTTGTACTCCAAACTGTCAAATAAACAGTATGTGAAAATTTCTATTTCTCCATACCATTAGTAAGCACTTGGTATTAATTACCAGATGCTAACCTTCTTTGGTATCTGATAGCTGTGAAATAATATGTAAAAATAACTTTTAATCAACTTGATTACTTTTGAGATTGACCAACTTTTCATGTTTAAAGGCCATTTAGATATCTTCGCACCATCAACTGCTATTTCTAAAAATTGGTTTATGTCCCACCATCACAAGTATCTTTTCACACTCTGACAGTTTTTTTCACTTAGTTTATGGAATCTTCTGCTACATTGACGTTTTTAAGGTTAATGAAGCCAAATTCATTAAATGCTTTCTTTTAAGTTTGTGCTTTTACTGTTTTCTTTGCAAAAAAAAGTTCTCACTCTAAGGTCATAATGTTCTGCTACGTGATCTATAATGTATACACTTTTAGCCTTAATGGTTAAATCTTTAATCTACCCATAATTTGTTTTGTATATTTTATGATGTAGAGTTTTATCCCTTCCCAGCCCAATTATACCAAGATTATTTATTAACTAGAGTCACTGGATCACTGTTTTCTACTTCTATGACAGCTTTTATAAATTATGCTTCATTTGTTTATCTAATATGATGCGAACACTAAACTCACAACCACTGTAGTTCTGAAATAAGTTGTGACATCAGGTATGGAAAGCTATCATCAAATTTGTACTTTAAAATGTATCTTGCCAAAATTTTAGCCTTTTAATACCAAATAAATTTGATAATCATTTGCTAAATTATCTGAAAAATACATCTAATTTTTTAATAGCTTTAAAATAAAGGAAAATTCATTGAGATCTGACTAGACTTGACAAATGTTCAAAGTTGACTCTACTACAGGATCTTTCATAAATTTTGTGTAAGCTCCTTTGCTAGATCATCCTTCTACATTTACCATGACATGGATGATAAGACACATCTTTCTCACCATTTTCAGTATCTGGCCTTAGCACCAAGTTTTCCAGGATGGTTCAAACCCGTACTGTTACATTGTACCATTTGACCCTTGTTAGAAGTAAAAACAGCTAAAAAGCCCAGCTCTCTCCTCTTTCTGGTGCACATAAAGTACCTTATTTTTAGATACATTTCCCAACAAAATCAACTTCCTTCTTATGACCTGATGCTGGTTATTAATAAGTACAGTCTATTTTTCATTACTTAAAAAAAGTTTCATAAGAGCACACACTGGTCAACTTTGACCACTCATGTGATCCCAGTGCCTAGTACTTAGCAGATACTTCAAGATACTTACTTAATGAATTAATTACTAACTTTAGAATGTTAATGAAATTTAAATTTAATGGTTCAGTGATGTACTATGACTGTAAAAGGAAATAAAATCATTTTAGTAATAGTGAGAACTAAAAAATTATGGCAACTGACAAATCAGAGAACACCCACAGGAAAATATTCACGGGCTTAACAGAATCTGATGCTGCTTCTAATATGCAGGCTATGTTATACAATGGAAATATCATTAAACTTTGGGTTCATCCTGACCCTGCAACTATGTTCTATGACTTTGCTCCAATAGCTTCACTGCCTTTTTCCTCATTATACAAAATAGTAGTGTCATACACCTTGCAAGACTTTTGAAAGGATTAAGAAATTAACTGACATATCTGGCACCTACCTAAATCTCAAAGACAAGGAAAACACAACAGTAGTCTGTCCCAGGTCATCAAGCTACTATGAGGCAGAATCCAGACTCATAGCAGGAGCTCTTTATCAAGTCTCCCCACTATTCCATGCCATCTATCAGTATATTCTATTTCATATCAGCATGCTCCAAGTTAACTCAGCTTTCAATGTCTCATAACTTAGGCACCTCTGAGACTCTTAGGTGGTCTGTGAGGTCTCAAATGCATAACAGAGCTTTTCCAGAGGCTACGTGAAATGTGATATTTAACTGACTGAATGCAGAAGCAAATATGTGAATCCTCCTATTTACTATTAAACTACACATTAAAGACATTTGCAAAAATGTGAAACATTACCATTCTTCTCACTCAATATTTTTCCAGAAAATGAGTATTTTTATAAAATATGTTACTGTATTAAGCTGTAATGATTTTATTATTTCTATTTTTGAATAAAGTGTTGTTACATTTTATTTTAATTTCAAGTAAAATAAATGTCAAAAGATAAAATCCACATTAATAAAAGTTCTTTGGGCCTAAAAATTTGTAAAGGGAACTTTGAACCAAAAGTTTAAGAACTACCAGCTTAGGATAGACCTTTCCCTTACTAGATTTAATCTTATATAAATATCTAAAATTCAAGATAAAAATGAAAACCCATGAACACATTATTAAAAAATGAGGGGGAAGGAAGAACTGGATGAAAGTGGTTAAAAAGTACAAACTTCCAGATAAGTCCTAAGAATTAATATACAGCCATCATCATCTAACCATGATGACTAGAGTATAGACATCTTATCGTACGTATATATAATAGCTGCTAAGAGAGTAAATGCTAAGAGTTCCCACTAAAAGTAAAAACAACTTTTTTTTGCTCATTTTTTTCTCTATCTATGAGATGAAGGATATTAACCGTACTTGATAATCAGTTCACACCATATTTACGTCGTTATGCTAAACACCTTAAACTTATACTGTGCTATATCAACTATACCTCAATAAACCTGGAGAAAGAACTTTGTGGGGAAGGTTGAGAAAAATAAGGAAATATGGTGTTACAGAAAGAATGAAACTTTCTTATTTAGGAAGCCTGGGTTCAAATCTTGACTATACTACTTGACTAAATATTTCCCTGAGAAAGTCATTAAACCTCTTTGGCGTCAACATCCTTGTCCATAATATAGGGATATTAGTTTCTTCCCTACCTCTTAAGGATGCTAAAGGATCAAGAACATGAATATGAAAACTCTGCGTCAACCATAAAACATTATGCAAATACAAAAAATATAGCTATCGTTAGATTTTACCTCTGTGGCAGACAGATGGACATTTATGGTTCCTACATCCTAAAGTCCGTCCACAGTTTTGATCACATGGTGGACAATTTCCAGGGCAACACTAAAGTGAAAATAATATATAAAGAATAGGTAATTGGAAAACTATGCATAATATGAATGCATTCACCTGTTATTCATAAAAGTTAAAGAAAGCAAAACATACCTCTTTACACTAAAAGAATAAAAGTACTGAAGAGTATCAACATCCCTCCTGTAAATAGCTATATTAAGAATTTATAAGTTTAAAACTAAATGACCTGTTTCAATGAAATCAAGCTAAATTTTCTTGCGCTTCAGTTAATTATTCTATGACTTAAAACATTTCCAAAAGGTAATTTCATTACTACTTATCTATGTAGAGACAGACCAAAAAAAGGTATGGATTTGGTCAGACCCTAGAGTCATTTCAGGCAATTAGTCTATTCATTTCTAAAATTTAATTAAAATAAAAGCAATTTAATGTGGCTAGTTATTTGCAAAACTGGAATTAGATTGGAATAGGCAATTTACTTAAAGTTTTCTTTATGGAAAGCTGGATTTCTAGTATGTATATGAGCAATAGAGCTATCCATGGTCTATCCCAATTTTTGCTCAGCAACAAAGGGCAACTGTTTAAAGTCCACTTCCTATATTCCTGAATCCTACACAATGTCGTAAACAATTATCTCGATTGAAAAAAAAATACAATTAAAAAAATTTTAATTTAAAAAAATAAAGTCAATCTTGCCATTCTAACTCCTTATATGACTCCTCACATATCCAAATTTTGGAAAGGAAATGCAGATTACAGTTGTCTTAGACAAACTTAAGAGTTGCACCCCATTTAAGAACAAGTTTCAATACATAAAAATAGCTCAAAAAATACTTTATAGAAAAAATTGGGGGCCTCCCTGGTGGCTCAGGGATTAAGCACCGCACTACGAAGCAATCCGCAGCCTCTGCAGCACGAGTTTGATCACTGGCTGGCCAGGGAGCAACCCACATGGCGCAGCAGACCTCTCCTGACTTGCCCACTGCTCCCCTCAGCAGTGTATTTCATTCAATCCACCTGTTCTCCACTTTGTCTCTGGTAAATCCTCTCACCCCTCGCACCTCTGGCCTGTACCCCAGCTCTTTTATGAATAAATAAATAAATCTTTAAAAAAAATTTTTAAATCAAAACAGTTCATTTAATTAGACAAATATTTATTAGGTCCAACTATGTACCTATCGTTTTGCCAGTGTGGCAAACACAGGAATGGGGGAAAACGTTATGCAGTCTATGACTTCTATAAGCCTTCAGACATTACTGATTTCTCACCATGATGGAATAACAATGCGAAATTTACTCTCCCACCTGAAATAACTAGAAAATCAGAGAAAAATACATGAAGCAAGAGATTTCAGACAAGATAATAAGGCAGCACAGGACAGTAATCCCAAGAGAAGAAAAACAAACAAGATGAGTCCCACAAAAGCACCAACTTAGACCTGGAAGTTTCCAGACTACAGCACAAGGAAGATCACAAAAGGAGTCTGGTGGTTCTAACAAGTTCAGTGGACAAAATTCATAATGCAGAGGCCAGTGTGGGTGGAATTTGTGAAGTGACAGCAGTAAAGTGAAAAGTACTGGAGAACTCCGGACACGATCCCTTGAATCTCTGACTGAGTATTGGTGTGTACATCTATTGAGAGGAAACTGTGCAAAACCTCCGAAAAAGCAAATGGAAGGAGCAGGAAGACCAATTTCCAGAAATTAAATAAACCTGGGAGTAGTTTCTCAGAGTGGAAGAATCTCTTAAAATGTAAGAATCAAACTGTGAACTTAGAAGAGTTATTGTCTCAGTGTTAAAGCCAAAACGACCCTAGATGAAGGGATATTCTGATCACACCTAACAAAATCACATACTCAAATACAGGAAAAAAAAAAATCCAACCCCCAAAAATACAGTTTTACATATTTAGAAACTAACCAAAAATTAGCTAGTGGCAAAGCAGCAGAAAAACATAACCAAAAGGAGAAAAATTAACAGAATAGACCCAGAAATGACAGATGATAGACACAGACAAGGATATCAAATTCAGTAAGTTTAGACTACATTCACTATATGCAAGTTTCGGGAAAGCATAAGCATGCTAAGGACAGATACAGGAGACATAAAAAGACACACAAATCCAACTCAGAAATGAAAAAAATACTATGTCTGAGATTAATAAACACAAAATGGGATACAAAGTGGATCAGAAAATTAGTAAACTTGAAAATAAAGCTATAAAAGCTAAGATATAAAGCTAAGATATAAGCACAGAAATAAAAAGGACAATAATAAATAGACTATTCATGAACTGTAAAACTTCAAGCAGCACAAGATATGTCTTTGGAGTACAGGAAGGCCACAATGGGAAAATATTTGAAGAAAACTGAAAATTTCACAAAAGTTGATAAAAACTATAAATCCACAGATCCAAGAAGCTAAAGGGAAAAAAAAAAAAAACTAGAGAAGTCTTAGAAAAAACTATGCCAAGACACACCACAGCAAAATGCTAAAAACTGGTGATAAAAATCTTTAAAAATAGTCACAGGAAAATTAAATGCAAAAGAATAAAGATAATAATCATAGCCACTCTTCACTAGGAAAAAAAAGCAAGCTAGAACATAGTAGAGCAGCATATTTAAAGTACAGGGGAAGACTGTCAAACTAGGAAAATACTTTTCACAAATGAAAACTAAAGATATTTATCAACGTTGAAAGAATTCACAACTAGCACTACCATCAATGTTAAGGTCTTCACAAGAAAAGAAAAAAAAATTTTTTTTAAGAAGATTGATTTATTTATGCATATAAGAGCTGGGGTACAGGCCAGAGCTGTAGGGGGTGAGAGGATTCACCAGAGACAGAGTGGGGAACAGAACAGGCAGACTGACCGAAATACAATGCTGAGGGGAGCAGCAGGTGAGTCAGGAGAGGTGTGCTGCACCATGTGGGTTGCCTCCCTGGCCAGCCAGGGATCGAACTCATGCTGCAGAGGATGTGGATTGGCTTCATAGTGCGGTACTTAACCCCCTGCGCCACCAGGGAGGCCCCAGGAAAAGAAAATTAAACAAGATAGAAACCTGAGTCCACAAAAATGGAATAAAAAGCATCAAAAATAATGAGCTTGATAATAAATATAAAAGACCGGTTTTTCTTATTTTTCTTAAACTCTTTAAAAGATGTTATTTAAAGCAAAAATAAAAACAATGTGTTTAAGGTTCATAAAGCACCTGAGTATAAAATATCAGAATGAAATAAAGACATTAAAAAAGAATGATTAGGGCCTCCCTGGTGGCACAAGGGGTTAAGAAACAACCTATAACGCTATCCACAGCTTCTGCATCACGAGTTCGATCCCTGACCAGCCAGGAAGCTAGCTACCCACGTGGCGCAGCAGACCTCTCCTGCCTCACCCACTGCTCCCCTCAGCTGTGTATTTCAATCAGTCTGCCTGTTCTGTTCCCCACTCTGTCTCTGGTGAATCCTCTCACCATCCCCACACCTCTGACCTATACCCCAGTTCTTGTATGCATAAATAAATTTCTAAAAAATGGAATGATTAAAAAACAGTAATCAAATAGAAGATAGGAAAATAGGGAAAAGAACAAAGAGATGAGTAAATTGAAAATAAACATTTAAATTGAACTGTCCTTTAAAGAGCACATTAAAGATATATGGTACATATTCAAATTAAAAGACAGGTTATCAATTTGGATAAAATAATATCTAACTGCTGTCTATAAGAAAATTTACTTAAAAGAAAAATAAAAGAAAATTTACCTTAAATATAAAAGATATGAATAATTTAAAAGTGAAAACATGGAAGATACGCTGCATTAACACTAAATAAAAGAAAAGTTGAAATCACTGTTATAGGGCAAGCCTGCTCTAAAACAAGTTGCCTGACTGTGGGTCCTTCACCCGCGCACTTAAAAGGGACTTACACCACAGGCACACACAAAACGGTAACAAAAGGTTTATTTACAAGGGAATGGGAAATGAGGAAATGTACAACTCAGGGAGAAAAGAGGGAGATAAATTCTTAAATGCATCCTACCCATTCTGCCAACATGGAATCCCAGAAGACCTGCAGAGACCAAACCTGCCTGGCCAAGAGCTCGAGCCAAGTGAGCCCCCAAACCCACTAAGATGGCTGGTTTTATTTACAAACAGAGAAAATGGCTGCTTAACTCTGCCCTTAAGTTCTCACAACTTCCCTTTGGGGATCACGGGATTTGTAGTTCCCAGTGTCTTGATGGAGTGGGGGTGGCATCCACAAAGCCTGTATGGAATTCGCTCAGGACATCCTTTCCCCCTAACAACTATATTTCAATACATTTAAAAACAAGGTATCTTACCAGAAAGGGGATAATTCATAGTGATAAAAGGACTCAAAAACTGCAAATCTACAGACTCAATAAAATACTCAGTTGACCTTATAATGAATCAAGTACCTATAAATAAGATTTGAACAATAAAAGTTAAGTCTTCTCCATCAAATATCTATCACTAACACTGCTATGGAATTTTTAAAGTCAGGGAAAAGAAATAATCCAAGAACCAAGCAGAGAAGACTATGCACAGGACAAAGAGACCCTTGCCATTAAAAGCCTTAGGAAGCTAGCAAACTTAATACAAGCAATTAAGATTTATCTAGGATACCTGTTAGTATTTCATGTGGAAAGCAAAGAACACACCTGAACATTTGAGCAACAAGTCAAGATGTTACTTATCACAGGCCCACAAAGAAAAGCAAAAATCAAGAGAATTTTTCAGTAAGTTTCCAAAATTTATTACACATACCTTTCTCCTACACTGATGCTTCTGACAGTCACGCATCTTAACACACTTAGTTTCACACTGATAAGGCTTATGACAGGGCATTCGTTTTGTATGCTTTCCACAACGACATTGCTTTTCCACTTCCTGGAAGAATTAAATAAATGCACTGAAAATGACTTTTGTTAACATGATTTTTTCCACATTACAATCTCTGTATTACTATACGAATGAAGGAAAAAAATTTTAAGGGCAAATTTGTATGACGACTTTACCAAAACAAAAGCTGAATTTCCTAAAAATATTTGTGTCTTACTTTGTTCAAAAAAAAAACTTCATAATAATTTCCATTATTAAATTCAGAAGATTGAAATTAAATAGTAAAACAATGCCATAAATTAAAACCACTAACATCAGGTACTCATGAAGATTATGACATAAATGTTCATGCAGCAAAGTAATAAAATACAATTACAGAACAATCACACTTGACATATTACGACAGGAAGCTCTTAAGAATAACTATCACAGATGACTCACTTGTCTACAAGTTTCACAAGGGCCTCGGTGACAACGCTGTGAACACCTATGAATTCCACATTCAAGTACTTTGTCACAACTGTCTCCACAAGTTGGCACATCTTCAGTACAAGGCAAAGAAAATTCTAAAAGCAAAAAGTCAATGCTAAAAATAAGATACACAGAAATAAACTTATTGAAGGAGGTGAAGGACCTGTACAATGAAAACTACAAAACTCTCTTAAAGTAAGACACAAAAAACTGGAAAGATATCCCGTGTTCACAATTAGTAAGAATTAGTATCATTAAAATGGTCAATTTACCTAAAGTCATTTACTGATTTAATGCAATACTTATTAAAATGCAATGACTTTTTAAAAGGAAATAGAATAATCAATTATCAAATTTAGATGAAACCACAGAAGGCCCCAAATACCTAAAACAACCTTGAGAGAGAAGAAAAATGGAGGCATTACACTTCCTGACTTCAAACTGTATTGAACAGCAACATTAGTCAAAATAGTATGGTACTGGAACAAGAACAGAAATCCAGACCAATGGAACAAAATTGAAAGCACAGAGACAAATCCATATAAATATGCACAGTTAATATTTGACATAGGAGTTATAGACATACAACAGAGAAAAGACAAACTTTTAATAAATGGTGCTAGGAAACATGAATAGCCACATGTTAAAAAAAAAAAGTCAAAAACAAAGTAATACTCATTTAACACCATACACAAAAATTAATTCAAAACAGATTGAAAATTTGGACTTAAGAACTAACTACTTCAGAGAATATGGAAAACACACAACAGGACATCTACCACAAGATACATTTAGAAATACGACCCCACATCAAGGGAAAACACAAAAATAAACAAGTGGGATTATATAAAACTTGAAAGCTTTTGTATTTCAAAAGAAATAATCACAAAAATAAAATGACTATTTACAGAACGGGAAAAAATATCTGCATGCCATACCTCTGACAAGGGATTAATCTCCAAAATTTACAAAGTACACAATTCAACAACAAACACCCAATTAAAAAATGGGGAAAGGACTTCAATACATACTTTCCTAAAGACATTGAGATGGCCTACTGACATGAAAAAGTGTTCAACATCACTTATAAGAGAAATGCAAATTAAAACTATGCTGAGGTATCACCTCACACCTGTGAGAAGGGCCCATGTGAAAAAGAATGGAATTACTAAATGGTGGCATGATTGTGATTGTGGAGAAAAAGGAACTCTCATCCACTGTTGGTGGGAATGTAAGCTGGTATATAGCCCTTGTGGAAAGGGTATGGAAAGTTTTCAAGAAAGTAAAAGTGGAAATTCTGTATAACAGCAATATCACTATTAGGTATTTTTCCAAATAACATGAAAAAAGCTAATACAAAGAGAGATATCTACACCGATGTACACAGTAGCACTGTTTACAATTATCAAATCATAAAACAACCCAAGTGCCCTTCAACCCGATGAATGGAAAAACTGTGGAGCATATAGTCAGTGGAATATTACACAGCTGTGAAGAAAGATGAAATAGTGACATTTGGGACAAAATGGATAGACCTCAAGGTTGAGTGCAATCAGTCAGAAAATGAAAGACATTTTACTCATCTGTGGAATATAAATATCAAAAAAAAATTACAAATAATAGAAGGAATAAAAATTTAAATTCAGCAAAACGATAATGGTTACCAGAGGGAATAGGGAAATGGGTGGAGGGGATGGGAGGAAGGCAGATGGGGCATGAACACGGTAGTCTGGTGGAGGGGAAAAAAAGGTGCATGATAATGTTTTTTAAGAAGCACAAATTAAAGGAATTTGGCATTAAAAAAAGTACATTATTATAAAGCACAAACAACATGCCATGTTCTTTTGGTTTCCTAAAGAAAGAGCCCTTTCAGACTATCAATTTTTGCATCTACATAATTACTGAAAAGTTTAACTTTGATGAAAATAATCCCTAGTACTTGTAGAGTATATGCTTTTTAAAGAAAAGTTGACATGTGACAAGTCACCATGCTCGGGAAGCACAGGAATACTTATCTTAAAAATGAGAAAGGCCATACAAACCTCTATAAAGAACTCTACAATATATGGATTTTTAGAAATTGCTCCTAAATTCACAGGCCAAAAAAAAAATTAGTAGACTTAAAACATTAATGAACCCATCCTTAACACAATTCTAATTAACATAATTAATACAGTTAATATAATTATTGACAATAATCTTATAAATGTGGGGGGGGGCTCCCTGGTGGCGTAAGGGGTTAAGACACAACCCATGAAGCTATCCACAGCCACTGTAGCATGAGTTCGATCCCCGGTCGGGGAGTTACCCACATAGCGCAGCAGACTTCTCCTGACTTGCCTGCTGTTCCCCTCAGCAGTGTATTTCAGTTGATTTGCCTGTTCTGTTCCCCACTGTCTCTGGTGAATCCTCTCACCCCCCATACCTCTGGCCTGTACCCCAGTTCTTGTATGCATAAATAAATCTTAATATAAATAAATAAATAAATTTGCGTGAGGGTCCAGATATAGTCAAAGAAGCAGATGAAAAATGCCAACTTATGTCTTTATCTCAAAGAAATCAAAACTATAATTCTATGACCTAATGCACAATACTGACAACAGCTTAGGGTTTCCTTTATGTTCTAGACACTACATTAAATATTAAACACATTTTATCATGAAATCTTACCATCATTTTATGAAGATGAAACTATTACTATCCCCATCTTAGAAAAGCATGGCTCAGGAAAGTAGGACTTCAACCTAGATATGCCTGACCTCAAAGTCTGCATTTTTTAATTCACTACCTATGCTGTCCTCTCACTAAAATTTAAAAAAAAAAAAATCTAATACCAAATTTATATTATTATTGAAACTACATTATAAATACCCAGGAAAATAAAATTAATTAGTAAATATTCTAGGTAGGATAATCATATTAAAAGTTCAAATAAAAATCTTACTTGACTTCTGACATGGACAGAACCTCTTCCCAGATCGAGGACATTCTCCACAAGCACCAACATGGCAAACTTGCTCGCATGTGTGATTACCACATGGCAGTGTTTTCCCACAAACCTAAAATAAAATGCAGTAAACAATAGTGAAGGACTTAAATTTAACAAAGAAGACTTTGCACATGACATAATCCATTTTTCAATCACAAGTAAGCAGTCCCAATACGTTCCTTATCTTATTTCACTATATAACTAAGTATCATATGCATATGTACATACACATATAAATATACACACCCACATATGGATATACACATGTGTACAAACATTATTTCCTATATACCAAGAAAGCACATTTTTAAAATATAAGAAAAGTACATACAGCTTCAAAAGGCCAACAACCATGACTTCCAAATGGTACTAAACCATGCCAAAGCTAGGACGAGCAAATCAATCCTACTTCCTTAACCAAAATTAACTCAAGAAGCAGGGAAGGTCTGAGAGAGGGGAGAGAGAGAGAAGGAGGAGGTTTAACAAGAAAACGAGTGCATATGTACTGAATCCAAAAGCCAACAAATAACTGTTTATTTGGGGGGGGGACCCCAGTAATCAAAATGCTAGAGAAATGGAAAATAGTGCCAAAATTTGAGTTGCTATTCTTCCTCCTTCATTCAATTAAACCTACTTATTATTTCCAACAGTCTATTTTTTCTGTGTTAATTCCCACACCTTAAAAATACATATACAACATACTTGCTCACAGTGCCATAGTGGACTGGCACAGCTTCTTTCAGCTACTTGTTTGCCACAGACACACTTTTGTCTGCTAACTCTGGGACAGGGCTGACAACTCCCTAAAACCACAATGATAAATTAGTACAGAAACACAAAAACAATAGAGATTGCTTTGACTTTTGCTTACTGTCAGAACATCTAAGAGGTATGACCTTTTACCTGCATGACAAGGATTTTCACATTTATGTTGTCCACAGAGCAACTTCCGTCCACAAGGCAGCTGACAAGACCATTCCTTGGCACTGCACCTACGAGGAATAGGTTTTCCTTTCTTACAGTAACAAGTAGTTGTGACCATCTTTGGACAGGGAGGACAGGGACCTAGAATACAATGAAAGGGAAAAAATCATAAGTCGAAAGTTAAAACATTCAGTTCCTAAACCTATGAATAATTTCTAAAGCTTCTTTACTAATATTTTAAAAGATAATTCTTTTAAGTATCTTCTTACATAAACTTTAATTCTGAATTTAACATTCACTTTCTCTTTCCTTCACATGATTAAAAACTTAACCACCCACTCACACACAAAAAAACTAATATAAAACTCACCTGGATGACAGAGAAGTAAACACTTATGGCCACAAGGAGGTCTGAATTCTCTCTCACATACTTGGCCACATGAATGAGGCACAAGCCATGGATCTAAAGGTGGATCTTCTACCTTTCCACAATAGCAATAGTACCTAGTAGGTGTGTCAGATTGTTTGTATTCAAACCTACATTTTGGACTATAAACAGAATGAAATTACAAAGTTTATTTTCATTTTTGAAAATTACATGAGAAACAGGACTATAATATAATTAGTAACAAAACATTCAATTCAGTTATTGTTAAGCCACTCTCTGTTCATCATTAGTAAAAAACAAAGTTGCTCAAATTTTCATTTCAAACATCTAGAACAGTTCTGTCCAATATAATTTCCTGAGATGATTGAACTATTCTACACCTGCACTGTCTAATACAGTAGCCATTAGCTACATGTGACTGGTGAGCAGTTAGAATGTGGATAATGCTACAACTGAAAGACAGAATTTTTTATTTTATAATTTTTAAAAATGAAAATGACCACATTATGAGTTACTACTGTATGTGTATTAAACAGCACACATGCAGGAAACAGCACATTGCTCAGAAACAATTACGAAAAAGAAAGCAACACTGGCTTTCCACTGTTCAAATTTTACTCTTGCATCCATCCTACTTTTTACAAAGCTCGACGTTTTAAAGTTTAGTTGTGTGGTTTACAATATGTAAAATATACCAGCAATAGCCAACAGAGAAATCAGCTTACATGAAGGAAAAAAAATAAAGAATTTCATATTCCTTATAATCCATCTAATACAAAATAGTTATATTTCAAATACTCCCGAGTCAAAGAAAAACTCAAATACTGTTTTACACACCTTGCTTAAGCGAAAAGATTTTTAACTAGCAAGATTAAGATAAATAAGTTTAGGCACTAGAAGGATTAACCATCAGTTCCTATCAAATTCACTTGTAGATCTCAGAGCACTCTTAAAAGATGCTCTAATCCTAACTATTCCCCAAACAAATGAATATACTATCCTAGAACACAACATCACTAGAATTTCTCTTGTATCATATGCAATATATTTTCACTACCCTGAGAACATGCTCTGTTCCAAATAAATGCCATATAAATACCCAGAAAAACGAAATGCTATTTGTTCTTATAATTAAAACAAAAGCAAAATACCATGTCTCATCTGGAATTAAAAAACCAACATTTTATTAGAAGAGTTAAATTTCTTCTTACTAAAGGGAAAATGTTGATCATTCCTTTAAGCTATTATGGAGGGGTGTGTGTACTTTAAAAACAATTAGATATGAATGGCTAAAAAGCAACCCATCATCTCTTAATACTACCTATCAACACTCAGACTGAATTGTTCCAGAATGGGGGAGGTGAAGGCAATATGTGCAAAATGTATGAGCTTTATTTAAAATAATGGCAAAGCCCCATATCTTCATAAACAAATCACAATATAAAAGCCAGCATGTATACTGAATCTGCCAACAAAGCAACTTATGTGTTGCAGTTTTCATTTATTTTACAACTTATTATTCCAATTAAATTAGAAAAAGTTACCAAGGCCATGGATAATCTCTCTTTCCAAAGTCATCATCTGTCAAAGGAGAAGATACCAGAAACTGGCTGTCTTTAGCCCACTTCTGGATACAGGGCATATGAAAAATACAGAAACATCCTGAACAACTCCAAACCTAAGACAAAGGTATCAAAAATTAACATGCATGCAATGATTTTTCTTTGATAGTCCCATAACACTTTATAATGAGCATCACACTAAATCATTTTCAAGTTAAAAGGATTAAAGAAAAAATCCTTCCTTGCAGTATAATAAATGTTCTTTATAAAAATTTATTGCATGTGGAAAGAATACTTTAAAGAAAAATATTATTAATAACCTCAACTCATTCAGGTAGAAATAACTATTGCTTACATTCTGGAAGATATCCTTTTTTTTTTAATACATATATTTTTTAATGAGGTCACACTGTACCAATATATATCTTTATAACCTTTTTTTTACATAGTGTGAGCATTTACTCTTATCAAATATGCTCATACAACATGAGATTTATAGTACATAGCATGTAGATTTATATACCGTAATTTATCTGATTTCTTATTGGACACTTTAGTTGTTTCCAACTATGAATAGCACCACAAACGAATCCTTAAACATAAATATGTACATATGTCCCTATACAGCCCTTATAATATAAAACCTGTCAGTCCAGCATTTAATAATACTAAATTCTAAAAATTAGATGAGCAACTTGAGAATACACCTCATTTAAAAGCTTAAGGAACAACTGCAAATTAATTTTTAAAACCTGCCAACATTTTGATATGAATGACAAAAATTATTTCTCCCTTCATTATAACGTTTTGCAACCGTTAAATAATATCAGACATTTAGCATTTATTGCATAAGCTGGCAACAGAATTTTAAAAAAATCTCAACTTCTTAGTTCAAGTTTCCCTCAAAGCTATTACTAAGAAAAGAACTGGGATGCAGGAGTGAGAAGACAAAATGGGGAAGAAGAAATACCAATAAATTGCAGATTATTGAGCAGATTAGGCTAAAAGTCAAGTCCAGCCAGAGAGGGCTCCTCTCAAGAACCAGGAGACATGCCTCCTCCTACTGTATCCACCCACATGCAGAGAGACCAGTCATTCACAGCAGTTCAAATCAGAGTATGTCAACCAGATGTGACTCCAGGCAGCAAAGGACATGCATCTGCTACACTTTCTTATCCAGTGCATGTTAAATTTCTGATTCACTTTACACACAGATGAAATGAGTTCATTTCATCTGGCCTGGTTTTCTTTCTCAGGATAATGCTGCTGTAATAGCAGTAAATTAATCTAAGGTTTAAATGTCGAGTATTACATTCAGTGATCACTTCCCCTTATTCCATTCATGTCCTTTTAAAGGACATCAGGTCATAGATCTTTTAAGTACAAGTGTTATGTCTGAATCTGTATCTCCCAATGACCTAGTTACTTTCCATAGTGCTCTCAACACAGAGGAAGCTCACTAATAAATAGTGTCAAGAAGTATCTACTTCCTTGAAGGTAGAGACCATATCTATCTTCTTTTAAACCTGCTGAAAGTAATAAAATATAGTACATTTTAACATTTCAGATTTTGTGGGACTCTCTGAAGTTCAGATGCTAAAAATATCTTATCAAATTGACACTCATTAAACTGAAGACTTGCTTCTGTCACATTAATAGTGCTTAAAATTTTGGAAGCCCAATAACAAATTTACAAAGTGAAGATCAATTCATATAGAAAAATCTCAAATGAAGCATTTTTAAAAGAAAATAAGTAAAAGAATAAAAAAACAGTTATATTAGAAATGCAAATTTGGGGCAAGATAGATTAATACAAAAGGAGAATACTTACTGCTTGGTTTCTCTTCACCGAAGCAATACAAATTAAGCATGTCATAGCCCCTGCTTGAAAAGCTTCATTTACATACTGCTTTGTTCGCTCTAATTCACGTGTATCTCCATCTTGAAATTTAAAAATTGAAAATCTCACATTAAGCAACATCTGAAAATAACACAAACTCATAGTAGCACCACATTATATTAGGGCTGTCTGGCAATATCAATTACTCAAAATATAGCTGGAAATACAAGAGGTTTAAAAATAAAAACAAGAACTCAGCTGTCAAGGTCCATGCATTAAATCCTAGGAACTTAATTCGAAAATAGTCACTCAGCCCTTTCTCAAAATATACTTGATTTTATTGCTGTTATAGTCTTTAACAAATGTGGTGGGGACAGAGTAGCAGAAGGTAAAGGAACAAGGGAAAACATCAGAAAAAGAAGTGAAAAAAGTGAAAGGAACTAAGCTTGGCAGAACTATTTGACCTAAATATAAACATGAGTGTGTGTCTGTTTGACACAGCATATTCTTAAAACTTGTAAAATGAAAAGATCCTGATGTCACTGCAGTACAACAATTTTGTTTCATTAAATGTTGTTCTCTGTCTGTTCAAAAAGATAGTATGAGCTTCTCAGAAAAATTTACTAGACTGTATTTTCTTTACACAATTATTCAGAATTTATTCACTAGGCATTATACTGTTAGTGCTTCATTCAATGATCTCGGTTATCCACTTAAAGTGGATAAATTTAGTTTTTTTAAAATGAAAAACAGAAGTTATAAAACATAAAATAAAGACAAGAAATGAAACTGACTTTAAGACACACTTAATGTGATGAAAGAGAAGAGCATGAAGAACAGATTTAAAGGGGTACCCAAAGTTCTCAAATCCACTCAAACCATAACCAGGACCAGCTGACTCCACTCATCACAAGGCAGCATCTCCTCAACATTCTAATGAAATGCCATTTAAGCACAAGGGAGAACTTCTAAGGCTGTAAGAGACACTGCCATTCTATTTGCTTTAAAGAAGATTAGTGTCATATAACATAAAACTCAAAAAGCAAAATTCAATACTACAACACAAAATGCTCATTCTTAAGAAGCAAAAAGTATTCATATCAAGTAAAGGTATTACCAAAAAAGTCAGGAATATATATTCACTGATGTCAAAAAAGACAAAATTTAATACCTGTCTGGGTAGTGTAAGTTGTAAATGTATTAGCAACTATTTTTCCCCGTTTTCCTTCAAAATCTTCATCTCCTTCTTCTTCAGATGAAGAGCTAAAGTGTTCTTCAACAAGTTTTTTGGCTGCTGCTTGATTCGCCTTCTTGATTTCTTCAAATTTCCTATGAGACGTTAGCTCAGCTTGAAAGAAAAAAAGCGAATTTCGTTTCTTCAAAACAACCTCTCAAAAAGCAAGACATGATATATTAACATAATACATCATTTTTTTTAAAGATTTATTTATTTATACAAGAACCGGGGTACAGGCCAGATGTGCAAGAGGGTGAGAGGATTCACCAGAAACAGAGAGGGGAACAGAATAGGCAGACTGATGAAATACACTGCTGAAGGGAGCAGTGGGCGAGACAGGAGAGGTCTGCCGCACCATGTGGATATCTCCATGGCCGGCGGGGATCGAACCAGCATTGCAGAGGCTGCGTACAGCTTCACATCACTGCGCCCAACTGCCTGCGCCACCAGAGAGACCCAATATATCATTTTAAAATGCAGTTTTAAAATGCAGTTTTAATAGTCACCTTTGGAGCATTCTATTGTACCATCAATTTAAAAAAAGGTATTTTTAAATTTCTTGTCACAGAATTAAAGAAAATACCACAATGGAAACTTCACTTCTGTTAATGTTAAATGAAGCAAACTATTCTAGAAAGAGTGATTAACAAATCAAGGAAAAATTTAAAGTATCAAAGAAAAAACTGGAGGCCAACCTCAAAATAAGAACATTGACAAAAATTAAGATGGGATGGTTAAAAATAAACCATAATGATTTTTAAGACGTGAGAAACATGCTCACTGGGGGCACATCGGAATCCCTGGAAGTGGGTGCTTCTTCAAACCACCCTTTTCCTGAGAGCCCAAATCAGCTCACCCCAAACTACCAAAGACTTTGCATAAACAATTTTCACTGTATGCCCACTATGTTTATAACCACTGCTTAAAAAGTTCAAGGACTTTTTGTCTATTGAATTGTGGTCATAAAAATATATATATTTAACATTAATCCACATAAAATATTACCAATATGTAAAATGTGCTTCTTACAACTACTTCATTCTAAAAAGAAACATTAAATAAGGTTTCTATTAGTTCTTCCACCATTATCTTTAGCACGGTCTGTACTTCTCATTTTGTTACTTGATTAAATAACAATGCACAAAGAATTAGATTACATCATAGCATATTCCCAAGGAGACTTCAAATTTCTAAAGAGCAAGGACCATGGGAATTTTCTTCAAGCATTGTTACTATTATGGGCAACAACTATAGTTAAATAAGAAACCCTAAATATACAAAACTGATCTGAATTCATTAGTGTTCACATAGAGATTTTTAATTCACTAATTTCAAATTCTTAATTACTAATTTCAAATTCACCTTATCATTGAAAAACTGATAAGCCACTACCAAGATAAGCTTTCTTATTTTACATGGTATATTTGTACTTAATGGTTAACTTATTTTCCTTATAGTATGTTTTCCCTTTCTTATTACAGCCAGATTGGTTGGGGATTATTCAGTATTTGAAGTAAAAAATTGGAGGCAAACGCATACACTGCCGACTAGAAATCTGAGAATTAGGAGAAAAGTAATGCCTATAAAATATATGACACAAAACTTGATGTACACTGAGAGATGATCAATGTCATTAATTATGGTAACTAGCATCTATTTTTTAAGGCTGAATGAAACAGATGTAATAAAAACATAACATCATCTCAAGGAACGTTGACAAATCAACCTCCCTGCACATTATTTCTTTCCCCTAAAATCTGCCATTATCCAAGACAGTTTACCAAAACTGTTGATAGGCCACCTAAACTCAGCAGCTGCAAGCTAAGAGAATACCACCTAATTTCAAATCTAACTTAGGAGGAAAAAACACACTCATAAGCTCAATTTGCTCCTCCCCACCAAAAAATATATTCATATAGTAATTAATTCCAAACACAAAATGAAATAACCAGGGATTATTCGATGCACTCCTGTTCCATTAATATAGCCAAATTGAGAGTTGTGTATATGCTCTCAGGTTCCACTAAAATCACCTTGGATGAAGGATACTGAACTGAAGGTGGAGCCCAGGCCAGATAGATCAGGAAAGGACATGAAATTTATGACTAGAAGCCACAGCTGAGAAAAGTACCACAAACTCAAGTGCATCTGTTGGGAGGCCGTATCCCCTTGAGAATACAACCCTAACAGTCTGGGGTCCCTGGGTAAGCCCCTCTATCCGCTCTAACATATACAGAGTAAAGACAAAGTCACTAAACTAAGGCAATCTGGTAAAGAAGAAAAAAGACAACTGGCCTCAGAAATAGAAGAAACAAGGTGAAATGCGGTGCGTAACCCAGTCTAAATGGATTTTCTCCAGTTCAATCCAGCTGCCAAGCACAAAGGTACTGAACTCACAAGATCTTATTTTAGAAAAAAAAAAGTTGCCCAGATCTTTATTAAATTTGAAAAACAAAAATGTTGGCAGCCAATTTAGAGTGAAGATAATGTGCAAACCAAACCACAGCATAGACTAAATCAAGCACCACAGTGGCCACAATTTGCAACTTTGGATCTAGGGACTCAGAAGACAAAAAAGAGAGAAGGGAAGAATCCTGGCCCCAGAAGGAATAAAAGTTAGTCTCAACTAAGATAAGGAGGTGTGATGAGAAACTGCCTAACGCTGAAATCAGCAGCTGCTTGAAATGGGCAAATGAAATCAACAACAAACTCCCGCAGGTGAAGAGGCAGAGGGAGCGCGGCTAGAGCCGCAAGTCTCAGGAGAGGTGCCCAGCGGACGTCCAGGTGAGCCCGCGGGCAGGGCCGTCTCACCGCTGGCCACGGAGGTCCGCGGGGCTTCGGATCCCGACGGGCTGCGCTTGGCTGAGCTCCCGGCAGACGCGGGGGTCGCGGCTCCTCCCGGGCTGGGGCCAGAACCAGCGACGCCCACCGACCCTTTCCCTCGCCCTCCTCCGGCGCCGCGGAGGGGGACCCCATTTCCTGAGGAGGGGGCCGCCGTGGCCCGTCCTCGGGCGCGGCCTCGGCCACCGGCCACCTGGCGCCAGGAAGCTTCCATCCCTGCAGAGGTTAGGGGGGAAAAAAAGAGGGGTGTTAAGAGGGTAAGCGCGCGGGGCCGAGACGGGGAAGCGGGCCGTGGGGGAAGCCCGCGCGAGGGGCCGGAGGAGGGCGGCCCCCGCTGGGCGGGCACCGGGCTGGAGAAGGTCGCGGCCCTGTCCCTCCCGGAGGGCGAGTCCCCGCTAAGCCCGGGTTGTGGAAACGGAGAAGAGGAGGCTGAGAATTGGACCGCGGGGCAAAGAGCACCCAGAGCCAGAGAGGGGGAGGGAGCCTCGCGAAAGGAAAACACCTCCACAGCCTCAGGTAGAGCGCGGCGCGGGGAGAGCTGCAGACCAGCACCGCCGCTCCCGCCGGGAACCAACTGCAGAAGCGGACCCTAAGGAAAGCTTACGTCTCCTTACCGACAGTGCCCGCCTCCGGCGACTACAACTCCCAGAAGCCCCTGTCCACGGCCCGCAGAACGCGTGGCATGACGACCATCTTCCTCATCCGGGAGAGAAGGAGGGTAGACGCGGACGGACTGCCGTGCGCGTGCGGCGACTGGGCTGCGTCTTCGGAAACTACAATTCCCGGCGTGCTCTGGGGGACGCAGGCGTTGTTGGCGCCCAGAGAGCGCGCAAAGGGAGGAGGCAGGCGGGTTCCGAGTTGTGCTTTACCGTGGAGGATGTTGCTGCTCCCGGGCTACTCCTCTTTACCTTCCTGGGTGTCCCAGTTTCGTCGGAGTGGCCTTAATTGGCTGCCCGCCATCTTTAGCCTTTCCTTCGGGCGCTCAGGTGACATTTTCAGTAGCGAGAAAATGAAAACACTGGTGGTCGAAGGGGAAGGGCCAGCTGGGCAAGTGTTGCGGAAAAGTTACCGAAGTTAAGGAAGGGCCTTCTTCTTTGCTAAAGTGATGTAAAGAATAAATCTGACGCCTGTTATTTTCATAGTTATTTATTGCTTACAATGTGCTTTTCTGGAACTGCAGCGGATCAATTTTTAACCTTCATGGCAGCTCCCTGAAGTAGAATTAATTGAGAAAAGTGAGTTGAGAGCCAGGACCTAAATCTTAGCTTAATTTTCCAATAAGATTAGGGAGATAGGTTAGATACGTTTTAAAAAACTGGGGGGGACGGTCTGATTGAGAAATAATGCTAATTGGGAATATATAATCCTTATACAACCCTGAAGTACTTAATGAGTCACTCTATAGTAACAATACCTAATATTTAAATAATATTAAGTGTCACTATGCAAAGTTTTACATATATATTAATTCGGTATCCCCATTTACAGGTGAGAACACCAAGGTATAGAGAAGTTAAGTGGCTTACCCTTAGTCATATAGCTACATATTGCTATCATCGATCCTGCTTTTTTAATTAGGAAACAAAATTTTCTTATTCAACATCCTAGCAAGATTGCAAATGAGTAGTATGACTCCTGACCTTTGCTCTTATATAATTGTGCAGTTCTAATTCTACTTCTTTAAAATAATGCTCACAAGATTAGCTAAACACAAGACTGACAATACCAAGTGTTTCCAACGATGTTTAGCAACTGGGACTCCTATGGTGGGAGTAGAGATTGGTTTGGCAGCATCCACTAAAGCTAAACACGACCTGCTCCTACAGCACTACAACCAAGCAATTCTACTTCGGACATTTGAGATATGAGTGCTCCACAAAAACTCGCATTTATAGCAACTTTATTTCTTATAGCCAAAAGGTAGAAAAAAACCCTATTGTCCACCAACAATAGGGAAAAAAATTGTGGTATAAGGCTATAACAATGCTGGATGGGTGGAGGGTAGAGGGTACTGATATATGTAGCAAGATGGTGTGTTAAACAACAAAGGGCAGACACAACAAGGTAGTTACTTGTGGTTCCAATATCAAGAAGTTCTTGAACAAGTAATAGCAACCAAATTAGTGCCTAAACCTGGTGGGGGTAAGAGAACTTTAACTGGGGAAGGCGATGAAGTTTCTTCCTGAATGGTGGAAAACATATCTGGATCCGAGTAGTATAATAGTTTCACTTGTGTGCACGTGTTAAAACTTTAAAAATAAATAATCCTCTACATCTATGATTTGTTAATTTTTTTTTTTTTTTTTTTTTTTGGTGGGACCCTCGCCGGTGGCTGGGGATCAAACTGGCGCTGCAGAGGCTGCGGGCAGCTTCACAACCCAGCCCTCAACCGCTGCGCCACCAGGGGAGGCCCTATAATTTGTTAAATTTATATGTAGGGTGCAGTTGAATTTTTAAAAAGAATTCTAAATAAAATGTAGAAAAAATATACCTGTATTCCCTTATTGTCTAAAACTTTGAAATAGTGTGATTTAATTGTATTTTTCTATTACTAATTTATCATCTTGATACGGATACTTTTTGCCATGTATCTATACACAACTCCCCAAACACACGTATTCTTGACAAATACATCTATACTTAAGTTAAACTCTGTGCCAGTTACCGATATGCTGCCTCTTACATCCTTTTACCCTAAGGTAAGTGTTCTGTGTTCACGGAGACACCTCTTAATAGCATTTCCGCAGAGAGCAACAGGCTTAAGTTTTCTCAGCAGAGGGCGCTGGAGAGACATTGGAGGGAAGGGTCTGCCCAGTTAGTTCCAGCGGCAGCACCGGGGGTCAGCAACCTTACAGCCTTACCTTGACCTATAGTCTTTCCCAGCAGTCCTCTCAACATGGGAACTGGCTCCAAGACCCTTCCTGCTCACACCAATGCCGTGAGTTACCCCTCAATTTGCTGCTGACACCCCACACCACCTACATCTGACGCCCATCCCATGTAGGCACACAACACCGTCCCACTCCTCCAGCACAGCTGTTCTGTAGACTGTGCCCCCATTCCCTTTGCAGGCCCACCCCACTGGCTGCTGCTCACCTGCACCCTGTCTCCACTCCAAAGGGTTACTACCTGTTTTCCGAGGCATTGCAAAACAGTCAATTTCTCTGGCTAGAACAAACCAGTAAGCTTTTCTGCTATACAAAGTTGAACTATACCTTCACCGGTATGTACCCCAGCCCTAGGGAGAGGGATCCCTTCTAAGTTTATCCTGCCTCAGATACTTTCCCTTTTTCCTTTCAGCCACTCTTTTATCAGAGCTTACTAATTCTCCATATCAAACTTAATCCCCTGTGTGGTTTCTATTTTCCTTAATCCCCTGTGTGGTTTCATTGGATCCAGACAGATATGGGCACTGTGTATATTTTATCATTTTAACTTGAAATACTACATATGATCCAACCAAACTGCAACAACAACAATAAAAAAAAAGTCAAGGAAGTAAAGGTTAAAACAAAGTACAAATTACAGTAGTCAAAATAAGTAAGAAAGCTGGTCTGCTATATATCAGGCAGAGAAGAATTAAACAATCTATTTAATTTTCCTAAACAGGTAAAATGAATAGAACTTTAGGGGACTGACGTCTTCTTGGTTATACTTAGTAATGCTCAAAATTGAATGATAAAAATAGTATTGTATAACATGAATAACATAAAAATAATTCTTAAATGGCAATCATTTTACTTTTATTAGATAACGTTCATAACAGACAAAATCCACCGACCACTCATATTTAATGTAAACTTTTTTCAAACTTTCAGTTAAATAATTCATTTTGCCAAGTAGTATATGGGTGAGCTCAGTAGTAATTAACCTATCAACTGCAGATCTTTATCAAATATTTATCATAATCCAGTCATTGGGTTATTCTGTTTTTATTTTTCCAGAGTTTGACTCAAAACCATGACACTAGAAACATTTTAGTTCCTAATATGGATTGACAGTGCTCCCCAAACAGCGCTGAGTGTTCCTACAGTTACTAAGTGCATTCATTTCCACAATTGTTGTGTTCTCATCCTTAGGAGAAAAAAACAAAAACAAAACTGAGAAATCTTAGTTCTGAGCAAAGTCAGTGCACACTGTGAAAGCATCCTTGCCACTCATCTGCCATCCAGACTCACTATTTTTATGAATATGTTGAGAGAAAAATTTTTCTAAACACTGGAAGAGAAACCCTTGCAAGTGAAGTTGACATTCAAATATCACCCAAAAAAAGAAAAGAGAAGCAGCAGCTGGGAGCTGGGTAATTCAAGTACATCATGGTTTCAAGAAATAACAGGCAGCCACTCTAAATAAGCTGCGTTTCCTTCCTGGTGACAGCACTGTGAGGCGTTATCTTGATGTTTTGTATGAAGTGACTTCTAGATCCTCCACTGTTTCCCTCTATGCCCCCATTACAAGATTGTCTTCATCTCTGCCTAGGCTAATGTGAAATTTTTCTTCTAGACAATTCTACTTACCACTCTCCAGAAGAGTGCCTTTTTTTTTAATTGCCAGGCATGATCCATTAATTAATCATGAAATCAATTTAGTAGTTTTCAACTGCATTTTTCAAAAGAACTAAAATAGAATGGATAAAAGAAACTTCCCTAATACATTGCACTTTATAAGGCAAATGTTCCTTTCTGAAAGGCTTGCTACAGCTGTGTGTTTTGGGGGGTCACAAGACAAAATGCATGCTGTGTGAGTCATAATCAAGGAAATTTTAACCAACTACCCTTAGAGAGTCACCCACGTTATTGCATCTGTCCTCTTTACTCAGAAATATTTTTCTTTTCTTCAAAACTGTTGAATATTCACTTCTAAAAATCACTTGTTCCCTGTGAGTACAGTTTTCCTGGAGTTTTTGTACCATGTTATCTGTTATATGTCTTAAAACTGCAACAAATGCACAGGAAAGTACAAAGAGTGGAGCCCATTTGGGGCCTACCAGCTCACTCTTCATCTGACACAGGCTTTAGGACTAGAGGAGATTTAAGGTCTTTTTCTATCAAGAGATTAAATGTTCCTCTTCTTTTAGTCATCAAGGGTAGCCCTGTGGGCACTTTAAAATGGAGCACCTAACAATATGGTGAATTAGTATTAAGTCTTTCATTCTCTTGATAATCAGCTCAGTTTCTTTGTTGTTTGTTTTTCTCAGCCTTTGTGTCTCTGGGCTGGAGTCTCTTGATCCCTCTCCTAG